ACTAGCAGGCGTCATTCTGGCAGCATCTGCATATGTCTGGCTAGGCGATCTTGCTGCATGAGCATTGGTCAAGGTGTCCAGCTGTAGCCGGGTCTGCTCCAACTCGCTGCAAACCAGGGTGAGCTGCTCTCGAGCCTGTGACAATTCTTGCGCCATCTGGGCCGTGGTCCTAGTGACTTCCTCAGCCATGCGGTCGCTAAGTTTTGTAAACTCGAGCTGAAACTCTGCCTTCATTGCTTCCATTCTTTGATTGAAATCCTGTTCCAGGAGTCGTTTCAAACCCTGGATCGCCTCGGTCATGCTGCCAGCTGCCTTAGGCGTGGTTCTTTTCTTAGTTCGCGTATGACTCAGAGCTCCCTCACTGCTCTCCTCCTCCTGCCATTCCATATCGCCTTTTTGCTGCTCGGACTCCAATGCCCTTGTCGTTCTGGTCCTTTTACGCAGGGGACGATGATATCCCCCGCCCGGAACATCCGGCTCGCCTTCCATGACGACAATGACGTCTGAAGCGGGGTTCGCAACTTCAGACATCCACCAAAGGCCTGAATCTCCGCCAAGCGGCTACCGGGTATTTCAAAAGTAATAAAGAAGATAATGAGATTTCGAGAAGTGTTTCGAATCGCCACTCTAGCAATCGTATCACATCCCTTCGTGGGCTCTCAACGGGGTGCGTCCCAAACGAATAATTGACTGCGAATAATTGACTGCCTCTCTTACCCTAGACTCCGTGCTGAATAATCGGAAAACCTTGGCTTTGTTGGGGGGTTTCTGGGTCAATAGAGAATGATTGTCTGGACTTGTCCAATATTGTTAAGGCGCCTGCCCTGCAGTGCGAGCAAGAAGTTCGTTCCTCAGGCATGAAAAAGACTAAGGTGCCACATGTGGCGGAGCACAATTGACCACGCCACAATGAAATCGTCTCCGTCAATCGATAGATTCTAAATTTGCGGCATCACAACGACTAAGCTATAAGGCAAATTCCATACGTAAGTACGGTGTAGCTACGTAGTCGCGGAATCGCCACCAGAAGACACCGTTTTTCTGCTTCCAGACAAATGGGGCTGGGTTATTTGCTGCTCTACCTACGGGAATAAACCAGCATGGAATCGCTTCAGCGTCATCTGCGAGGCACTGCGACCGCCTAAATGTGATGTGTGAGCCGGTTGATGGCTACTGCGAGGAAGATGTCGTTGGGTGAAGATAAAGTCGGACGTGATGGATCGGGAGTTTTATACAGGGTGGACTCACCCGGAGCTTTGGTACATCGATTATAGAAGATTAACGATTCTAGCAGATCATCTACCTCATAGTATAGTAAACTCCTTGGTAGAACATTGCCTATTCTCCACACATCCAGCGAGTACCACACAGCGCTCCCTAGGACATCGGGCTTCACAACCTGGAGACATCTGAGACACCGCTGTAAGTAGTCGAGAGTAATGGCGACAGCGCCCAGGTCAGTGAAGTCCATGGCCGAAGTGGGCAGACCAAAATGAGTCGCCTCGCCGACACGGCTTCTTGAAAGACCCAAGCACGGGTCCAGTATTGGCAGGAAAGAAGATCGTTTATGGCCGACCAAGCCGCGTTGAATAGCGTGGGGATATTTTTGATGTCTGGAATCTTTGAGACCAAAGTGTCATTTCGGAAAAGATTTGGGTAGGCTGAGAGCCATTCCCACTTCGACAAGATGGCAAGCATGCCTTCTTTTGTATCAGATTGCTCGGCAATATGATTGATTTGAATTGATGACCGGCCTCAAAGCTCGAAATGCGTCGTGCTTGTCTTCCGATCCTAGCCATGCAAACACGCATTCGGCGTTTTGGTAGAGCTTCGCCATGAGGCTGAGCTGTGCCGTTCGCTCTCGTGCATTGCCCTGGTTGATGCAGATGGCATCTGCCCACAGCAAGAATGTCGAGTCCGGGCCAGGGTGGAGGTTCCGCGTACCAGTCTGTCCAGGTCAGACGATGTCAGCGCAAGGTCGGACCGGCCTCCCTACGACATTGGGGTGAAGAACAACAAACAACTTACTGCTGTCATATGATCTTTTGTCGTTGTTGGTCTGATACTGGCTGGCCATGATGAGCTAGTGCTGCAAGCCGATTGAGGGCAATCGACTGCGAGCTAGTATTGAGCTGTACTGGCGTCCTCAATTCCCTGATGATCACTGGGTCTGGACGAGGCTGGAGTATCAGGGCTATCTGGAGCGACCGCTGAGCTACGAAACAGTTGTCATCGAGGCCGTGGCCAACTGGTGCCAACGGAATCGTTGCCTTGGGGCATCTGGGATATTTCGAACATCACCTCCTCCAAACCTGGTTCGTTCGCCTCGACTACCGTTCCTCCGCACTTTCACCCTTCCTTTGATCGTATTGCTTCCCCAAGGCTTACTTTTCCCCCTACCAGACAGGATTTTGGGCGTTCTCGGCGACAACAAGTGTCGGGATGCAAATCTCGTGCACATGCGGTACTTTGCTGGCCGAGTGGAACAAATTTTTCAAATGCACTGTAGCCAGTACGTTTTGTATCAGATTTTGAAATGTCGCACCGAATTTATCGAGTATTCCTGGGTGTAATATTCAAGGGTTTCAATTGAGTACTTACTACAGTGTCGGGTATGCAGCAAGATATTGTCAGTTCAACATATATTACACATGCCCCCTCTGAATCAATTTCTAAATCGCCGGAAATTTCGTTGCAGGGAGATGCGGCTGGTGCAGACAGAGCTGGAGACAGAAAGAGTATGGGCCCATGCAAAGATAGTTAAGCAAGATAAGGCCAAGCCTTGCTGGAGTGTGTATAGGTTGACTGAAGGCTGCATTCACTTGATGCGGTGTTCTTTTCAACAACGATGTCAAGGGCTGGAGGATGCAACACGAGGTGCTCTAACCACTTGGGCAAAATCACGGAATAGGTAGACCGGGTACTCTTCAAATGCAAGAGGGGGGAAAAAATCTGCCTGTAATTGCTTCATCGGAGCGGTCACTCCACAGTCTTTGAAACAACCGTATGCCATCCAACACCATCACAGCATCTTGCTTATCCCAGCCCGATTGATCGCCACAGAACTGTGATCAGTTTAAGGTACGGCATGCCCAAGTCAGCGTCCTCACCCGCGATATCCACTAATGCTGAACTACAGCGGGGTTCCAAAAGTCTTGCAACAGCCCCACTTACACCACCACCCTCACCGGAACGCATGCAATAAAGATACCAATTAAACAGGCCACAGACTAGCTGCAATAAAAGTAACTACATTTTTGGATTCCTCAGAGGCGTGGCTTTAATATTTTGTATACCAACCCCTAGCTTTACGGCAAGCTTCCACCCTACGCGGCATTGAATCTAGCAGGCCCCGAATGAAGTCTTGAGGGATAGCTTCCCACGCCGCTTCCAAGCACACTTTAAATTTAGCGATATCGGCTGCGTTTTTCTTCAATTTGGAGACCCAAGGGAACATTCTATAGAGATCTCTCTTTAGTCTGGCCCAAACGTGCTCTATGGGGTTCAGATCGGGGCTGTGAGGCGGCCAGTCAATAAGAGAGATCCCGTGCTCGAGCAGAAAGCTCATCGAGACCTTTGATGTGTGAATTCCGGCATTATCCTGCTGAAAATGCCGGGTGCCGTTATAGTCAGGAAGAAGCCCAGAAGTCAGAGCTTCAATATAGCTATTTGATGAGAAGCCCCCGCGCTTGGAGGCTGTATCCCGAGTCATAATAACCAGCTTGCTTCGGCTCTTCTTGCAAATTGCACCCCACACCATTATCGTCACATCACCCTTGCCATGGGCCATTTTATTGACGAATTTTGGGTCATAGATCTCATGGGTAAACCTCCAGACCCAGGTGCCTGGATTGGCGCTGCCATTTGCAGCAGAGCATTCATCAGAGAAGATAACCTAAGGGGTGTGAGTAACAGGTACAGTAGCAGACGGGGATATCTTAAACACTCAACCATACCTCACTCAATTCTTCTTCTCTTTTCGCCCAGTCACGCGTAAATTGAAGCCGTTGAGCTGCATCTTCCTTTCGTAAAAAGATCCTCTTTCTAGCTCGCCATTTGCGTAAGTTGACCTCATTTAAAGCCCGGCGTACAGTCGTCGCGCTCACCCCAAGACTCAGGTCATCCACCAGATCTTTCCTTGAGACACCTTCATCCTGTCATACAGCATGAATAATAGCCCTTTTCGCCCGAGGCGTCAGGCCTGGAGGACGCCCGGACTGAGGGCTAGGATCGATTGATGCGGTTGTCTCGAGCCGTTGAAGCAGACGGCTGATTGTGGCTGTCGTGACCCCAAAACGCGTCGCGACCACACTCCTTTTTTCTCCAGCTTGCACGGCCGCAATAATAGCCGCACGAAGCTCGGGGCTAGTTCGTTGTTTTCCTTGGCGATTTCCGGATATTATGGTCCCAAAAGATCGTAAATTGGACGTCATAGTAAAAAGTTGTGAGATGTTGAAGATGAAGGAGCAAAAAACGCGGTTCGGATCCTTGACGCTGGTCGCGAAAAAGTCGCGTGGCGTTGCAAGACTTTTGGAACCCCACTGTATCAGACACTAGCCCTCCCTCTAAACGAATGGTGGGAATTACGACCCGCTACACGGCCCAGCCAACGCTTGCTATAGGGCGCGAGACACAGCCGTCAGGAATGTATCAAGCGGCCCCCTATCGTTAGCAGGTAAAATTGCCCTGCTCATTCCACGCTAGATGGCTTCATTTGTGTCTAAGATTCAGGATCTGCCTCTGTTGGGGCATCTCGGGGAGTCAATCCGATGCTAGTTTTTGCGTTAGGTCGATCTAGAGCCCTAAAAATAAGGGGCTAGATGAGTATTGTGGCGTTTCCTGCCATGTGTGTTTGGTTGGAATTGGACTCCAATCTCATATTTAAGTCAATCGCCACGTACGTGTACATAGAGCGATTCCCCTTCCTACTTGTCTCCGATTTTCATCATCCCCGTCGTTTACTCTCTTGGTTAATCGTCTTCAAGTGAACACTGGCCAAGATGACGGTCAAGCCCCAACTGCCGCTGAGACTTCTCTCGCCGCCCTTCATCATCATTGTCGCCTGCGTTGCCTTGTTTGTCTTAGTCTGGGCGACAGTCCCCTTTGATTCCGTATGTATACCACCATGAACTGCTTAACTTTCGATCCCACCAGCTGATTACCGAGCTTAGGAGATACCAAACAACGTATACAATTCACTGTCGTTGAACAAGCCCAAGACCTCACGCGTGCACAACCTCGTCTGGGCATCAAAACCAGTACTCCCATTCTGCGCCGGCTTGGCCTCAAAGCTGGCCACTCGTTACCCAATCCCCACGATGCTGGGCTATGAAGGCTCAGGCGAATTCAATCTGACTGGGGGCTATAACATTGCCAAGTTGTACACCCTGCGGCGATATTTAAATGGGCCTGCTGGTGCTCACGATGACGACCTGGTCATCGCTACGGATAGCTACGACGTCCTGGCCCAACTGCCTGTCGATGCCTTTATCGAGCGTTACTTCGAAACTGCTGCAGCGGCCGATAAGCACCTTGCAGATCGTTTTGGTATCACTGTCGAAGAAGCCCATTCGAAAGGCCTACGCCAAACAGTATTCTTCTCCGCTGGGGCAAAGTGCTTCCCCCCGTTCCCGGACGAAGCACAATGCTGGGCTTTGCCCCCGTCCAACCTGCCGCATAATATCCTAGGTCCAGAACGAGATGGCCCCTCCGAAGCGTTCTACGCTGATCCTATTTTTGTGAACGCGGGGATCATGATTGGCCCAGTCGGCGACCTGCGCAAGGTTGTCGATGCCGCACTGGAATTGGTCGCCGAGATTTGGGACCCAGAGATCAAGTGGATTGCCACATCAGACCAGCATTATATCGGGAAAGTGATGGGCCGTCAAGAAGTTTACCGGACGAAGGAGATTACAGGTGGTCCCGTCCCAGGTCTTACCGGAACTAGAGTGCTCCCGAAGGAGAAGCAGAACGAGACCGATCAGACCGAGTTCCACATGACCGTTGATCATGCGCATGGGCTCGTTCAAAATAGGGCCTACTTTGAGTACTGGTTGAGGAAGCTGAACTTTGACCGTTCCGATCACACTGCCGTTGTGATGGAGGACGTGCTAAATCAGCAACGTTCATTTCAGCCGTATAAGATCCAGATGCCATCATTTGTCTTTTTAGCTTTACGCCGGATTTTCGATTCAATTTCGGATCAGATTGACCAAGGATCGACGGCGAAGGAATGGATTGGCTCTTTAAAACTCGGCACGAACGTTGCGACGAGGCAAATCTTTGCTCTTTTCCACCAATCAGGGAGAAAGGACGGTTTCATGGAGTACTATCAGGACATGTGGTATTTCCCATATCTTAAGCGTATGCTCAAGGCTGCCGTGGAAGCAAATAGAGCAAGAGAGCCTCTAACTACTCGCCTGATCGACGGCCGCAACTGGGTTTCTCAAACTAATTATCCCGAGGACAGGTCCTTACATGATGATTACGGTGGAGCATATGCCGACTCACCGAATGAATTTATTCCTTTTCTTCAGCTTTGTAAGGAATACACCCAAGATTTATTCGGAATGGAGCATCAGGGGGCCAAGAATCAAGAAACGAAAATCAATATTTAGAATAATGCCAGATAATCAAGATGCGTTACGAATTGTAAATATCACACTTCCAGAATTCTCAACGACCCGATCGTGTACTGCCATTGCAAATTATAAGCTTTGTGTTAGGTGACGTTTTGTTGGGTATGTGGTGTGCGTGGCACTCAGGCATGTCTGCAATGTTCCAACCTCTCGAAAAAGAATTTACAGACTGGATTACCGTAGTCAATGTAGCGTTATATAAGATTGCTTTAGTGGGTTCTAACCGTTACTGTCAAAATCCGAGGTTCCCTTGATTTCCTATAGCACCAGCGCGCGTGTGACCACATCTCCGCTCCTCACAAAGACTACGATGCTGAAATAAACATTCCACTGAATCTACAAAAGTGGCCAATCAATTGCTTTGGCTGCTGGATTAAAAAGCCACTTTCAGCAAGCAAGGCATTGCCATTGTTTTGAAATGAGCCAGGTGCGGGAGATACGTTTTTGAGCCAGCAGTATTCATGCAATTCTCTAGGAGCAGCATGATCTGCTTAATTTTAGATTCCCTTCGCCGGGACCGGAAGCAATCTGCTGTATTGGGCATGGAAATAAAATGGGATACGGTGGATTATGCATTACATGTGTGTGACTCGTTCCATTCATTGAGAATAGCAGTTTATCAGAGCTGCTCATTCAATGGGGCTCTGACATAAACCAAATCTATCTTCAAGGTATGCCCAATATTAAAATATTCAGCAATCAACAACGGATTAGATACTATTTCTTGGTATTTTAAGAAGTAGTAAAAGCTTGAAATACTATTTTCTTTGCCAATGCAGCAAAGGGGCTGAAAGCCAATCCCATACCAAGGTGGGTAAACAAAGCAACGGAAACGGTAGTCACAGATTGAAACGAAAGCAAATACCACTCTGCAACGAGCTCCATGGAAACATTTATTTTCCATCATGGCATTTTGGTGTTTTAAGTGTAGATATAATTTATAGTTTCCATCATCGGTACTGTCTGGTAGCCTCGAAACGCCTCCTTAGAGCAGCCAACCTTTTCTTTTTAAATGTGTAGCTACAAAACGTGTTTAGAGCAAATGACACCATGGTAAAGAACTGAGGCCAAAGGTTCGGGGGCAAAAAGCCCTGCGCAAATGCAACTGCCAGTGGGAACGTGAGCCATATTAGTTTTAGTGAGGGAAAAAGGGTGGCCTTAACGCTGGCCTCGACTTGTGAGAATGTACGCGCGCCGGCGATAACTGCCATGGAGATGATGTGTACAATTTTCTGAATAGGGACCAACTGTACTCGGAATACCAATCGGCGTCAATTGCTGCTTTCTCATCCACGGCCAAATGGATCAATGCATATACATACCACAAACATCCCCATTAAAATCTGTGTTATCTTCGCCACGTTGCTCTCTTGGCCGGCGAACATTTTCCTCAGGCCTCCGAGCAATACTGTTGTAAGTGGCGTATTGACAAAAGCGCCGTAGATGGCCATTTTCGGCACCCGCGCTGTCAAATAGTGGCCATTTTTGCCGCGGTCATCCGCGAGTCTTGAAGCGAGGAATTCTTTCCCAGCAGCGACAGTCGCAGAGCGGATGAGCCCACGAAGAAGGCGGTTCCGCTTTTTTCTCCGAGGCTGTATAGAGTGCGGTTAGTGCTGGGCTGTGGATGAACTATGGGAGGGTGGAAGCTTACCACAGCTGAAGAGTGATCGGATGCAGTACTGGGCGCATGGGAACTTCTATCACTACCTCCGAAGATTGAATCCTCGGGCGTGGCATGCGACATGGTGATCTCGGCCGACACGTCAATTAGAGAGATCAATCTTGCAGATGATCTCCAACGTGGGGTAGCGGTATATATGGTTTTCAATCACTCCGCCATAATCGCTCAGCCTTGATCGCTCCGCCTTGAAAGTACTAGTTGTCAGGGAAATCGGAGGCTCGGATGATCCCGTTGATGTACCGGTCACGGGCATATCGGGAATTAAAATGCCATGCCCATAGCGTACACGCTCGTACTGTACATGAAATCTACGCTAAAGTGAAAAGCAGATGCAAGTACAAGTACCTAGACTACTGTCGCAATCGTGATGGGAACATGCTGAAGTACGGCTGAACTGTTGAATCGCCACGTTGGTAGTCTAGAACTGGCGATCTTCAGGGCTGCCTAGGGGGTATATCTCTCACCTGGCTTCTAACCAACCAGTCAACCCTGTATAAAGCTCAGCTGGTGACAGAGCGCAGACACCTAGGCGGCGGGGTACGTCATGGCACGTTATTAGTGGTGATATGGAAATGTTTCAACCGCGTCTATTCGTCAAGATGGCAATTTGGGGGCTAAAAGCTGCACCTTTGTCACAGTCAGCGCTTATGCGGACGCCACACAGGAGCTGAGCCCCCCTCACGAAGAACGCGCAATATGCCGGTATTCGAGCTCAATACTGTAGAGCCTGAGCTGGGCTCTGCATCATTAGGTTGATCCCGCGCGTTTTGCTCTGTGTCTAGTGTTACTACTGAAATAAATCTTCTGTCATCTGTTTCCAATCTTCCGTTGCCCAAGCTGATGCTTCGACGGCCGTATCTCGCTAGTACCACTTTTTGTATCAGAACCACCTAAAATCCATAAATTCTATCCATGTGCGCCATCTAAATCTACCAGCTCGGAGGGATCTCCGGGTACGTGGCGACCCTCACCATGGCGACCAAGCCAACAAAGTATGTTTCCGGCCTATCTCCTAATGGAACTATTGACCAACGGCATCGCGGCAAAGAAAATTGTCCAAGACGGACTACACTGTCGGATGGATATGCGCTCTGTCCATCGAACTGGCGGCGTCCTCGGGGATGCTGGACGAGGTTCACGAGAGCCTCGACCTCGTCCCTGGGGATAAGAACATGTACACTCTGGGCGAGATCGGAGGACACAACATCGTTATGGCTTGCCTTCCAGCCGGAAATATGGGCATAACACCCGCCTCCAACGTTGCAACCAACATGATGAGAAGTTTCCCTAAAATCCGCTTCGGCCTTATGGTAGGCATTGGAGGCGGTGCTCCAGCACGCCGGGCCCGACCCAACGAGGACATCCGATTAGGCGACGTGGTTGTAAGCCTTCCTCAAGGAGAACTTGGTAAGACTGCCTTTGTGCTTTCTGGTAGAGTTCTGCTCACTCACTGCGTGTCTAGGTGGTGTCGTCAAGTATGATCACGGGAAAGTTGTCGCAGACGGTGATTTCAAACATACGGGCTTGCTCAACATGCCGCCCACTCCACTCATAAACGCAGTTTCTAAGCTCAAAGCCAAACATGAGTTTCAGCGGAATTCTATCCAACGCAACGTTACGGCCATGATCAATAAGGTCATGGAGTCGGAAGATGCGAACCCGGATTTTGCAGAACTATACGAGCGCCCCAATCTCAAGTACGACCGACTGTTCGCAGCTGACTACGACCACCATGAATCCCAAAGCGAGAGCGAGGCATCTGATTATTCGGACGATTCGGACGAAATTACGCTCCCTTGCCGTCGCTGCGATTCCGCTCTCCTCATCACTCGAAAACCACGAAAATCCCCAGACACCGTCATCCACTACGGCACCATTGCCTCGGCTGATAAGGTGATGAGACATGGTGTGACAAGAGACAAAATCAGGAAGAAACACGGCGTTCTATGTTTCGAGATGGAGGCGGCCGGGCTTATGAATGACTTTCCTTGTCTGGTTGTGCGAGGAATTTGCGACTATTCCGATACACACAAGCACAAAATATGGCAGCGATACGCCGCGGCCGCTGCCGCAGCGTACACCAAAGAGCTGTTAGAGGTTGTCCTGAAGGAAGACATTGAGAGGACAAAGGAAGCAGCAAAAGTCTTGGAAGAGGGTGAGTGTAATGGCGTACCAAACAAGCCTATGTGTTAGTTTAACCGATCCTGTTTATAGTCAAGCATGGTATCAACAAGATCGAGCATAAAGTGGACATACTGGTTCAAGGCACGTACCTCCAAGAGTATCTGGAAAATTCCTCGCTAATACCTTGAAGACAAGAAACGACAAGACCGGAAAAAGACATTGAATTGGCTTGACAGCGATATCCATACGAAAAGATTCATTGATTCTCACGCAAGATGGCAACCGCGCACTGGAAGACTTTTCCTGGATGCCGAAAAGTATTCAGACTGGGTCAACAATGATACCCAAACGCTTTGGTGCCATGGCATTGCTGGTGGTGGGAAAACAGTGTTCGCTTCGGTTGTTATCGATAACTTAAAAGCTGCCCAGAGAAACAAGACGCCAGAGACCAGGGATGGAGTTGCTTGTCTGTTTTGCGAATATGAACGACAGAAGGATCAGACTGTGCGATCTCTCACATGTGCCATACTCAGGCAGCTCGCCGATCAATGCGAGGAGCTGCCAGAGTCTGTCATCGAACTATTCGATCGCTACGAAGCCGACGATGCCCCTCTTCCCTTTGAAGAGATTGCTTCAACTCTTTCTGATGTGCTCGGAAAGTTCCCCCGAGTGTTCCTCGTTGTTGATGCCCTGGACGAATGCTCCGACAATACGCGCAAAGAACTGCTATCACATCTTCTTGAACAGCAACGGAATTCCAACATGAAATTGTTGGCAACTTCAAGGCCAACAATCAAATTCTTGAAGGAATTTGGACCTTGCGAGGAATTGGAGATCCAGGCCGACCCAGAAGATGTCAAGGATGTTCTCGACATTTTGATAGACAAGTCGGACACGATTGTCAAAACTGATCCGGAGCTACGGAGGAGGGTAAAAGACAGTATTTCTCAGGCTGTTGACGGGATGTACGAGAGATTATTTGCACCCCAGATTGATGCTCGACTAACTGAGGTAATAGGTTTCTTCTCGTCCAACCCTTCTTGGATTCAATCATTGGACAGCGGTCAAGAGGATATGTCGAGGATGCTCTCAGAGCTCTCGTGGACAGCCCCGACAAAATCTCAACGGTGTATGATGGTGCCCTTGGCAGGATAGGGAGCCAGAAGTCAGAAGACCGCAGGCTGGCGCAGAGAATTCTGTCCTGGATTGTCGACTCCAAGCGACCTCTCAGTCGTCAAGAATTCTCACAAGCTCTTGCAGTGAAGCCGGGGGATCTCACATTCCAGAAGGATTACATCATTGATGATCTTGATGGAGCCGTCGCCCTTTGTGCTGGACTAGTGGTAATCAACCGCGAGAGCAACACTGTCCAACTGATGCACCACACAACTCGCAAGTACTTCGAAGACTTCAAACACCGTCCCGATTGGATGACTGGCGCACACGGAATGATTGCGAGTGCATGCATAACATGCGTCTCGTACTCGGTATTTGACGAAGGACCCTGCGGTTTCGATGAAGCGCTGGAAAGTCGGCTACTCGAGTATCCGTTCCTCGAGTATGCTGCCCAACACTGGGGTACACATGCGCAAGAAGATCAAGTCAATATAGCGGAAGTAGAGGACTTGGCGCTGGAATTCCTGCAGCACGATACAAAGGTCGCCTCTTCGACCCAGGTCATGCACCCATCCAGCTACAGACAGCCCGGATACAGCCAGAACTTCGTGAAAGGTGTCACCGGATTACAGATTGCATCATCTTTTGGTCTCGCGAACATAGTCTTGCGACTTGTTCGCCACGGTGTGGCTACCACAGACACAGACGATGATAAGAGAACGGCACTTCACCGAGCGGCAGAGAATGGCCATGACGAGGTTGTCCTGATACTGCTTGAGCATGGAGCAGAAGTCAATGCCCAGGAGGCCAAGTACGACCAGACCCCGCTACATTTGGCAGCGTTGAACGGACACAAAGCGGTTGTTCAGACACTTCTCGAAAGTGACGCAGATGCGAAGATGAAGGACAGCGACGGTTGGATGCCAATCCACGTCGCCGCTTGGACAGGCAACGAAGAAGTGGCCAGAGTTCTTCTAGGGAAAATCGACGTCGACGAAAGAGGAAGAGATAAACTCACTGCCCTTCACTGCGCGGCTGCCCAGGGGCACCAAAAAGTGGCACGGCTTCTCATCCAAAGGGGCGCCGATGTAGATGCCATTGACGAGGATGGATGGACACCACTGCATTGGGCGTCCAAGAAACGACACGACATGATGAAGCCCAGAGTTCTCACACTGAAAGAAGAGACTTCGACATTACTACGTCAATTTCTGGCCAAACAAGAAGAGGTGAAAGAAGCCCTCAATCACCATGTCCAGTCATTCCAAGACAAATTGAACCACATTACAGAACCACTGGCTGTTTGGCGAAGCAGGTTGAGCTGGCTGCCTCTTGGCGATGAGCTCAACATTGGCGGGCACTATGGCGACGTGTTAGCAACGCTTCGTCTGGCCACAGACATGGGGACGATGACGCTGCCGTGGGCCTCTGCTCCACAGGAGGAGGAAGCACCGGCACCGACGAGATTCATTTTCGCGATTCAGGATGAGCTGACTGCACTGCACTGTGCTACCGAGTGCAGACATGAGTCAGTAGCGCGATTGTTGATCAGGAACGGGGCTGAAGTCGAAAAGAAGTGTAGAGCCAGCATCCGAACAGATTTCGCGCTGGAGTTGAAGGCGACCCCAACTCCTCTACACTTGGCGTCGTTTTCTGGCCACGAGGCCATAGTCCGACTGCTACTAAAGGAGGGTGTTTCTGTTCACACAAGAAGTGGCAGTCAGGTGGATAAGGAGTGGACATGGCCGTATGCAGATTGGAATGCATTGCATTGGGCTATCATATCAGGCAATCAGGAGGTCTTGCAACTGCTATTGGATCACGGAGCCGATGTCCACGAAAGTTGCCTGATTGCCATGAAATCCATGCGTTGCCAATTAACGCCTTTTCACTTGGCTGTCATCTTGGGACACGAAGAATTCATTCGGATCTTGATTGACAACAATGTTGATGTCAATGCGAAGGAAGTCACTGATTTTGACGTTGAGGTTGACATGAAGGGCATTAGGGACGGAGGTGACGACCCTGTAACCTTCACGTCACGACTCAACCCAAGCGCAATACACCTGGCCGCGCTGATGGGGAGGCACACAGTTGTTGAGATCCTGCTTGAAAGCAAAGCCGAAACTGAAATGATTCTTCATGCCAGCATAGGGCCCGTTAACCTACAACTCACTGCACTGCACCTGGCGGTCCTGGGTAAACACAAGAAAACGACGCAACTACTCCTTCAGAGCGGAGCGGCTGTTCAAGCGAAGCTTCAGCTCACGGTCGACAGCTACATGCGTGTAGATGTGACCCCGCTGCATTTGGCCATTTTCGTCAACAGCATCAGTTTGCCGAAGCTGCTTATTGAATCTGGCGCGGATGTTGACGCAATGTGCCAAGTCCATACCGAGACATTGGTGCCCCGGAGGCAACGGCCGGAGTCAAAAATGGACCAAACACCGGGTACAAGCGAAGGGGAAGAAGGCGATGATGCGGTCCTCCGGCGAATACTTACAAGAACAGCTGACCTCTTTACGACGTTTCTTGGTGATGAGATCGCCGATGAGATCGCAGAAGTGCCCGTCCTCGGGAAGGCTGCTCAAACCTACAGCAAGTATCGCGACTCTGTCTACGATGTGCATTTGGAGCTCGCACCCCTGCACATGGCAACGCTTTTTAAGAACGAGAGATTGGTGCAGCTTCTGATTGAGAATATGGTGGACGCCAATGCGACGGCCGTCGTCAAGATCAACCAATCCTCCGTACATTTCACGGGACTGCACGTAGCCATGATCCACGGTCACAAAGAGGTTGTTCAGCGTCTATTTGATTTCGGAGTCAGTGTACACGAGACACTCCGAATATATGCAGGGAGCTGGCTGATACTCGGCGCTACTGTGCTCCAACTCGCGGTACTATCCGGGAAGAAGGAAGTGGTGCAATTCTTGATCGAGAAAGAGGTGGATATCGATGCAAAGTGCGTAATCAACACCAAGCGTACTTCACTGGAGTTTGTAGTCTTGCATTTGGCTACGCTATTGCGTCACGAAAAAATCATCCCTCTCCTCCTTGACTCCGGAGCCAACATACACACGAAGTTCCAAGTCGATGCCGGAAGCTGGTTGCACCTTGAAACGAGTGTGCTGCAACTCGCAGCAATATCCGGGAAAGAGGAAGTGGTACAGATGTTTCTCGATCGAGGATTCGACGCCAGCGAAGGTTGTCTCATCAACAATGAAGCCTCGAACACAGTCAATGCACTGCATCTCGCCGCCATCTTCGATCACGGAGCAGTGATGCAGCTTTTCGTCAATTCTGGAGGCGACTTATCCAAGAGCTTTCGGGTCAGATTCGACCCCTGGTTGGATATTGAATTGACTTTGCTGCACCTCGCAGCCATGTTTGGGGATATGGACACTGTGGAGGTTCTTGTGAAGGCAGGGTCCGATGCTCACACAAACGGCAAAATCCAGTGCTACAAGATGCACGCCGAATCAACAGTACAACACATTGCGTTGATCCGTGGCCATGAGGAAGTGGTCAAGCTGCTGCTTGATGAAAACCCCGATGTTCACGCCAAATGTCATTTTGAGGTTGAGCCGCGGTTTCGTGGAGAATTGACAATGCTTCATGTGGCTGCTCTTGCAGGGAACAGAAGTAATTTCCAAATGCTTCTCGACGCCGGAGCCGACACTCAACAGAGAGCAATAATACATTGGGACTCCGTGAGTACGGAGCCCACGGTGTTGCATCTCGCAGCTATTTCTAGGCATTGGGATTTGGTTGAACCACTTTTTGACACCGAGGTTGACATCCAAGCGCCATTCAAGTTGAATGTTGGGGACATGCATGCTGAATTTACGCTCTTGCATCTATCAGCACTGAGCAGGGATCCTGGCATCGTACACCTACTCTTTCAGCGGGGGTTGGACATTAACGCAGTGTTCCGAATCGACGGCCCAGACACACGCATCGAGATAACGGCGCTTCATCTCGCGTTTGCGCTCGCTCGCGAAGAAGTGGCACGAGCGATTCTAGAGTGTGGTGCTGATGCTGATGCCAGATGTCAGATCATCACGGATGAATTGAATGTCAATTTGACAGCCCTTCATTTGGCAACTGGACTCTTGAATGTGGATATGGTCCGTCTGCTTTTCCCGCCTGAGCCGCTGGAGAGAGATGCACGGCAAAACACACAGTGGAGGCCTACTTACTTCGGGGACGCATACGATGCCGACACAGATACTCCTTTGCAATCAAATAAATCATCTCAGCACGAATTTGCTGAAAGGCCGCAGGGGCACCCAGAAGAAGATGCAAGTACAAGCCAGATGGAGGATATAGTCGGAAGCGCGCAAGAGCCGTCGAGAACACCGCCGCCCAGAGAACGCACAATTCACAGTTGGCTGGAAGAAACAATGGGAAGCCCACAAGAGCCACTAAGAGAGCACTACAAAGAAGATCCAATTGAGCGCTCAATGGGACACCCAGCGGGAAACTCTCAGGAGTCATTAAGAGAAGACTCAAGAGAAGACTCTCGGGAGCCACGAAGAGAGCACTCTCGGGAGTCACGAAGAGAGCACTCTTGGGAACCAATAAGAGAGCACTCTTGGGAACCACGAAGAGAACACTATCGGGAGCCACGAAGAGAATACTATCGGGAGCCACGAAGAGAATACTATCGGGAGCCACGAAGAGAACGCGTTGAAAGCATTCCCGAGGATCAATCAGTAGAGCATGTGTACGAACACATCACTGAAGCAGATGCGAACGCAAGATTTCTTCTCAACTTCGGGGACACGCTCATTGAATTCTCAGCTCTGCATTGGGCGACTTTAGGGAGATCCCAAAAGATCGCCTCGGTACTCCTCAAGAATAACGCCAACGTAAATGCGAGTGTTGAAGTCCATTCTGGGGATAACCATGTCGAATTCAATGCATCGCATCTGGCCGTTGCGTGGGCGTTCCCACCTCTTTTGCAATCCTTTCTCGCAGGGGGAGCCGACGCTGAATCCAGGCTACGAGTTGCCATTGGAGGTGTATATGCTGAACTACCGATGTTACACTTGGCAGCACTGATGTGGTCGACAAAGATTACAAAGTCTCTGCTCGACAATCGTGCCGATACTCAATCCAAATGTCCAGTCGGCGTCAGAAAGAGGGTCAAAGCCGAGCTCACAGTGTTACACCTAGTTGCATTGTCAAAACACGACGACATTGCAGGACTTCTGAGCAAAGGTGTTGACATCAATGGAAAGTGTCTCGCTGACGCGGAGTTCTGGTTACAATCTGAATTCACGGTTCGAGACATGGTAAGCGTATTCAACAAACCAGGAATGGCAGACCTATTCGACAAGTTTGAACCGGATGTCCAGGCCGACGGCTCTGGCGGCATTCGGGTTCGGCTCATGGCACTCCTGGCTGCGGCCTCTACGGGGGAAAAAACAATCGCGGAACTGGTCCTCAGTTCTGTAGAGGACATTGATGGTCAATGTTGCGTAAAGCTGAAAGTCAAGATTGACACTGCCTTCAAAGTCCCCATGCAAGCTGATATTGATGCGACGTTCGAAATTGACATGGAGGCGAAGCTGTCAACACTGCATTTGGCCGCGGTTCTTGGAGACGTGCATACAGTGCGGTTGCTCCTTGGCAAGGGTGCCAGTCTTGAAGGGAAATGCCAAATCGACGTTGGAGACATCCTGCAGGCGAAACTATCGCCTCTACAACTGGCAGCAATGTGGAAACAGGATGGAGTAGTGCAGCTGCTCCTCGAAAAGGGTGCCAACGCAAATGCCATGGGCCAACTCGACATAGAGCGAACTGTACAGGCCGACCTGATCGCGCCCCATTTGGCAACTCTGTTTGGGCACGAGGGAGTTCTTCGACTCCTCAAGAAGGGCGCTAATATCGATGCCAAGATCCAGGCCCATCTAGCGGCGCTGCACTTTGCTGCCTTGGTGGATGATGACGTGGTGGTTAAGACACTTCTCGAACACGGGGCTGACGTTGATGCCAGCTGTCTCGTCACTATCGAAGCCAAGATAAAGGACAACGTCGAGGCAACTTTTGAGGCCCGCCTGACGGCACTGCACGTTGCGGCTTGGGCTGGACACGAGAGGGTAGTACGGTTGCTTCTCAAGACTGGAGCAGACGTGAATTCCGTTGTCCAAGTTGGGGGTACGGCAACCCTGATTCAAGGAGCACGCATCAACCGGAAGCTTCAGGCAGGAGGGACAGCGATGCATCTGGCTGCAGGTCTGGGTCGTGAGGAGGTTCTCCGAATCCTGATTGATTCCGGTGCCAATATCACGGCGAAGAGTCAAGACGGACGAACACCACGCCAATGGGCCAAGGATCATGGCCACGAGGAGGCGGAGAAATTGATTCTCGAAATCCTCCGCAACAACAGTGGCGCATCCGCCGAGAGGGGCCGTTTCCGCCAGAAGTGGCACGACGTTTTCACCAAGGGCGAAGCCAGCGAAGCTCCCAGCAAGGAAGAGGCGAAGAGCCTGGCTCGCAGGAGCAAGAGTCCGGTCTTGGAAGAGAGTAAATATCGTAAGGAGGGCGTTGCAAATTTTTTGATGAGGTTTGCTTTGCAGAAGAGTGAGAAGTTGCGGCGTGCGCGCGCGACTGAACCCGTGCCCAAGAAGTAGGACCAATGATCTTTTGCGGGTATCGTGGGATGTGCTGGTGTTAGAGTGAATTTCATTCCGATCTTTATTTATTAATGAGAACATATTTACAATAACGCTGTCCTTAATTGCCAAACTCTAAGCGGTGGGCAGCGCAGAGGAAAGAAAATCAATTGCTATAGCAGATAAAAGCAATTAATGAGATTGAAGGCAAAAGGAGGCTCTAGACCGACTGGGAGGTCTCATCCCTTCTAATACCTAAATCTCGCAGAACCTGAAAAACAGAAGAGAAAGTCTGGAGAGCGAAACCTCCCTCCCTGTCTAGCCAGCTATCACAATGGGCCCTTTTAACCCCTTCCAAGGCCCAATTGCAATATCTCCAACAAGAGGCTAGATCGTAGCAATCGTAGAGCAGGTTCTCGCCATCAATAGAGACAGATCTAGACAATACGACAGAAATTAAAGAGGCGAGTAGTCATTCACGCCCCGGCTATTCAATTAGTCACGTCAAGACTCTTAACTGTCCTGGAGGATTTATAGTAATTATATCATTTTAAGGTCTAGGTATGCCGTATATACAATGTTTCTATTTAACCTCATCCACCACATTAAGATTATGCATTATGCCCATGCTTGTCGGAAGTTGTTGGCTCGACCATGAGGCGTTTAGGGGAGGGCAGCAGGAGCGTAGGACTGGTCGGGCTTGACGACCTTTCCACCAGCAAGCTGCTTGTCGGTGTAGGAGGGGTAGATGATCTGCTTCTTGCTGCTGACGACGGAGACGGTGGTGAAGCCCTTGTCGGCGCCGAATTGGCCGCTCCAGCCAGAGGTGATGGTGAAGGTGCCGCACTTGGAGGGGCCGCCGTTGGCCTGCGAGGCCTTCTTGCCCTTGACGACGTACTTGCAAGGGGTGGCAGCGCCGGAGCCGGTGTTGATCTTGAAGTTCCAGGTGCAGGTGGTGTCAGCCTTGTCGCAGACGCGGTTGAGGCTCTGGATAGTCCACTGGGGAGTGGCGGCCATCATGGAGACGGCGCTGGAGGCAGGGGCGGCCATGGCGCCAGAGGCGGCGGAGAGGATGGCGACGAGGGCGGCGGAGAACTGCATTTTGGGGTTTGAAGGGTGGGTTTTGTAGGTTGAGGTGGTGGTGTTGAGGTAGAAGAGTGAGAATTGATTGAAGTTGTGGAGGTGAGAGAGAAGATGTTGTTTGTTGCTGGAGAAGACAGGATTATTTGCGGTCGCAAGAGTCTTGTTATATAGCCGTCGGGTGTGATAGTTCAGATCAACTACGTCGTAGTTTGGTAGTAAATCGATAGACCGAAGATCCCATGTCAGCTGGAACTCGGCTTCGTATTTCGAAATCACCTTGTCTGAAAGTCTCGACTCTCAAAGGCTTGTCTTAGCCCATAAACTAATCAACCTAGCATTCGCCATCCCCGTGCGTAGCAGCTTGGTGGCATTCCTCCGGGGTAACAGTAGGGTTCAACCTAGCCCGAGTCCACCAAGTTCCGTACGATCCAGGCGACTTTTAGAACCGTGCGTAGAACAATCCACCAGGAGCTGACTGTAAAAGCCGGGCATCCGAGTATTTTTAGGCCCCCCGCATTGGAATTCCAGCCTGGCCTGAGCGTTGTTCCGTCTGATGCTTGGTGTTTTCCTTACTTAATTAGGCACAGTTACGCTTCTACCGAGCCAATCACGAAGCGAGATATTTTTGGCTCTCATTCTCGCATGACGTTGTGCGCGTACTTCTACCCAAGATGGTTAAAGCCATTGACTTTGGGCCGATGGAATACGAGGTGAACTCCTCAACCGGCTGGAACTATTGAACCTCGTATTCTTCACCGCTCGGCGATCTCCATCCCGTGATCAATTTAGGTAGGAGAGTCGCCCATCAACAGTTGATCGAGATTACTCCATTCTGATTTTAATCTGTACTCTGCTCAACTTCAAACAGGAAGCTGGGAGCTCGCCGCCCCTTCATCTTAACATGACCGGCTACGTGTGCGGCGGGGACCTCACTGGATTTTGCAAATGCCATCGCTAAGATGGGGATGATCCTAAAGCCTCGGGCGACAGGCAATGGCCGACATGGGCGATCTTCTCTCATCTGCGCGTCATCGACTCGAGCCGCCACGGGGGCGCTCGGAAGATCACAATAGGACTTTTTTTGTTTTGGCAAGGGGCTTACATTCCCATCATCCCTTCGAAACCGAAAGTCCGTCCGCGGACTCCGAGGATCTAAATGGATGAAGATCAGGCAGGTAGAGTTAAATCCGATCTAATCACAAAAACACTATGATCGCATCGATGTAGTTATTCCAGTCAGCAGCAGTCTACATCCCAGTCATTCCCAGCCTCATCGTGTTCTTGCAAGTCCTCCAGCAACTGTTCCTATAATTGATCCCCTAACCATCCCTCAATAGGGGATTAAACCTCGGTGCGCGTAGAACTCTCTAATATGCCATCTCGCGCCTGTATCGATCGATTCGTTGTAGTCGGCCATGCTAGTATGAGGAAAGACGACTGAAGAATATCCAGACTGCGACTAACGATGTAGGGTAGGCAAGATGTCGGCTTCTTGAGCCAACTACAACTTATATATTTATACAGGTTTTAACCTTTTCTAGTTGAAAAGCTTAATATTTAGTTATTATAGTAGTATTGCATGGGAAATACTTGAATTGTGGATAAAACTGTGTTTTTTTTACCTCGTGCCGGTAACTTGCTCACCTTGAGGGAGCAGACAGAAGTTAGATTAGCCGGAAGCCTTGAGTTTGTAAATTGCTAAAACTTTCCCCAAAAAACTGTCTTTTCTTGCCATTGTGTCAGCAACTCGCCCTCGAAGGAGGAGATTGCTAGCTGGGTAACCCTGTTAGGGTGTTTCTATTCTTCGTTCAGAAATTCTCTACTATGTTGTGATTTATTTTGGCAAGGTAATTCACATATTCATTTTATGAATTGCAGACTTTTTGTGAACACTATCCACAAGTGGTTTTGCTTAGAGAAGCGCCACCTACAGTGATCTCCCACCCAAGTCCATAAGAAACAATCTCGGCCTCTCTCCCCAGGTCGAAACAAATCTCTACAAGACACGTCCCACGCTCATTACCCTCTTTTTCTCTCGTCATCACGATGGAATTTATTTTCCTTGTCGCTGTCGTCATCTCGGGGAATGGCCAGCCCGTGTGGCACTTGCAATAACGTATGTGCCCGCGACCGCACTCAACTCGACCAGTCTGAGGAAGTCGTTGGCTAAGCCTATGCAGCATTCTTTAACTACGTCTATACCATCGCGGAACCCTCGTATGAAGTGTTCCCAACCGAGATGCGAGGATCTTGCTGTTACGGACCAATATTACCCAGGACCACCTTTGTCACTGAGTTCGTGTCTACTGCAATTGTCACCGTCAACGCTGTGCCCCAGCAAATGACCCATATCGTCGGCTCATTGCAGAAGACAATGAAGTCATCCCTGATCTTGCTAGCTATTGTAATAGTAACAATCGGTTCTGCACAACTTGTTCCCGCGCTGGATACGCAGCACCGACCATCACCGCTTCACCGGCTATGATTGCCTCTGTCACTGCCATCGCCACAGCCACTTCTACCGTTGAGCCCCCGAATACCTATGTTGCATGCTTCATTGCACCCAATTCAATTCTTCAATGCTGCGCTTATGTCGGAAATGGCTGTAACACGTGTCATGATTGTCAGTTTCTTAGCATCGCTAGCGACCTGCAAGGAGCACACTGGGGCAATTGCTAACTTGTTGCAAAGCTTCATCCGTTCCTTCTAGTTACTCGGCATTCCAGAGTATCTGCCATGCTCAGAGCTAATTGAGTTCGCTCTGGTGTTAAACAAGTTCGGTATTACAGACCGTATTTAAACTGCACATTGCTAGACACCACTGATGCTGACCATTTTCTTTCTCGCACCCAGTCTTCTCAGAATGGGGATACATGCATTAGTGTTTCGAGGCCTTGAATCACCTCCCCAAAAGGCTACCCCACGCCTTGCATTCGAAGAGCTAGACCGCGGTACACCGTCTTGGCCTAGCTTCCTATAGCCTGTAGAACAATTAATTGCTCGAATTCGCCGACAGACTTTGAGAGAATATCCCTGAGGTACAGAATTCGCACCCTCGGTAGCCTGTTTGGCAAATTCATGACTCGTTGCTGTGGTGCGCGGGCCGCCACCCTCAAGGGCGCGGGCCGCACCCCGGGCCACCCAAGAAGGAGGCCAAATGATCTGTTATTTGAGACACTTTAATCTGTAGAAGTACCTCTTACTACTCCGAGTCTCTTTACGTTGAGTCAATCTTGAAATTAACCTCATTATTTGATTGAGGCTCTGATCTTGCTCGCCCTTCTCTCCTATCGCCTTTCCCACACTGAAGCGGTTGGAGAGTATGCATTGAGGGAGGTCCTCAGCTTAGGTCGTCGGGAATCGCTTATCTGTTACCGCATCGCGCAAGATATCCGGAGGTGCGAACAGCAATCCCTGTCTATCTGGGATTCACGGGTGGTTCCTTATCGTTCACAAGGGTTAGAGATAGCATTCCGAATTTCGGATGCCAGGATGCAGAGTAATCATGCCCGCCTCCTTATCTTTTTGTCCACATGTCTCACGCACGGAGGCTCAGTCTCGAGTCATTGATGGCAGAATAGAAGAATCGCAAACAGAATTGTCCCGAATCAGTTGTTTGTATTGATCGTCCCAAAATGTCCCAAAAATATCCAATCTGAATCAATTATGCTGAGCCCATTAACTTGCTGCCTTCCAAACAGCTCACAATTTCCAGATTCTACGTAGATTTCATGGGCAAAAGTGCAACTTATGTCTAAAATGTCCCGCAAAAATCGTCTGATCAGCAAGATTGATGTGAGTGTTGCGATCTTCAAGCCACACGCATCACATATCGACCAGGATCACCGGAATGCCATGCCCTAGCACATCGGAATGACAGCAAATCATCATCCAAATATATATCTCCCCAAGCCCGCTCGGATCGTTCCGTCGGTTTCCTACATACTCCGCCATCCCATGCATTTGATCCGCCGGCTTCCTGCATTCAATCCCGTATCCGCATTATCTTTCCCCGCTTGCACCAACCTCAGTTTCAATTCTGCGCTTAACATTTTGAAGGGCGGCTCTTTGTGCTAATCACAAAATGATTGTTATTGTAAGAACTCAGAACGCGAATATAAGGGCTGCAAATTATCCTTCCTTCATCCCCCTTTAAGCTCTACAGAACGCGCATTGCCATCAGAAACAACACGCCCTTGTCGAAAGCGATCACCAACCATCACGATATCGGCGGGCACAATGAGTGACTCCACTGAGAAATCCCCTCCTTCGCTGGAACATGGTGCGCTAGAGAGGTAAGATACAAGCCCCGTTGTTTGAGGCCATTGATCTAACAAGCGTCAGGGTCGGCTCCTCGAGTGTTGCTTTCGACCCCAAAGCCGAAAGTCGTCTCCGAACTAAAATTGATTGGATGATCATGCCAACTGTTGTCCTCATTTATTTATTTTGCTTCATTGACAAGGCTAATATTGGTATGGCTCAAATCCGCCACAACATTCTGCGTCTAGCTAACCGTCGGTGCAGGAAACGCTCGAATTGCTGGCCTTGAGGCGGATCTCAATATGACAGGGCTTGACTACAATGCGACCCTCTCCATATTCTACATTTCCTACATTCTCTTTGAGATCCCATCCAACATTGTCTGCAAACTCATTGGCCCAGGCTGGTTCCTTCCCATACTTACTGTATGCTTTGGAGCTTGCTCGATTGCAACTGCTTGGGTCGACACTGTGCCACAAGCAATGGGCATACGATTTCTTCTCGGACTTTTCGAGTCCGGTATGAACCCAGGAATGGCATACTACCTATCTCGTTGGTATCGCCGATCTGAGCTCACCTTTCGAATCAGCCTTTATATCGTCAGCGCACCCTTGTCCGGGGCCTTTGGTGGCCTTCTCGCTTCCGCAATCCTCCGTCTAGATCATTTTGGGACTCTCAAGACGTGGCGCATGATATTTGCGATAGAAGGAATCATCACTATCGGTCTTGGGCTTATTGCATTCATTACATTAACGGATCGCCCTGCCACCGCTCACTGGCTCTCTAACGACGAGAAAGAGCTTGCAGAGGCACGCATTCGATCTGAGAGAATGGAACAATCCAAGGTGCTGGATCGAATCGACAAGAAGAAGCTCATCCACGGTATCACATCACCTGTTGTTTTGAGCAATGCTATAATCTTTCTATTCACCAATATTACCGCCCAAGGACTTGCGTTCTTTACACCGACTATCGTTCGCACCATCTACGGAGATAAATCCACTATCCAGCAACAGCTCTACACAGTTCCTCCGTATGTCATGGGCTCCTTTCTGACAATTATCTTCGCGCTTCTGAGTTGGCGTGTGGATCAACGTCAGATCTTTTCCACTCTCTGCACGCCTCTCGTTATCATCGGTTATATCATGTTCCTCGCATCCGATAATGCGACAGTCAGATACGCAGCAATCTTCCTTGTTGCTTCCTCCATCTTCAGTTTAGGGACGTTAACGACCAGCCAAGCTTCTGCGAATGTGGTGTCAGATACAGCAAGGTCTTCAGCTTTTGCTATTAATGCTATGTTTGGAAACATTGGCGGTCTTATCTCGACATGGTCTTTCCTGTCTTGGGATGGCCCAGACTATCCTATCGGTAATGGGTTGAACTTGGCAACCACTGTCTCGATTTTGATCGTCTCATCCCTAACGCATGTATGGATGATTAGAGACAATGCTTCGAGAGACAGAAATGAGGCCGAGGCACTTGCAGCGATGGATGCCGCATCGGAGCAGGAGGAAGATTTGGACTGGAAGCATCCTTCCTTCCGATGGAAGCTCTAGTGGCTTGAAATGAAGCCTTCCAGCTGGTCACACCAGTCTCCCGTTGAAACTATGTGTTCATCAGGTTAATGAGGTAGTCTAGTTTATGTAAATGGCAGTGTCACTGTTTTCATCTGCGACACAGTTATCTACAACATTGCGACTTCGCGTTCCGTGGCGTTCGTAGTGATGAATGTGACATGTTGATTGTGGTGAAATTAGAACCCTTTACTACTGATAAGTAAACCCAGGGTACCCATCCCAGTTTATTAAGTTCTACAAACCCAAGGGCGCTTTACGTCTTTACGTTGAGTGCAGGAGTCAATATTAATTACTTAATATCATCAGATACATCAAAGGCATACCACGGTCGCAATCAGGAGCACACATTTAACACTGCACCCAGTAACAGAAGATGTATCATACAGTTATGTTGAAACGGGCTATTAAAGAGGATGTGTATAAAATGGAACGACCTATTTGTTGATTCAACTAGATCTCCGTCTATAATTCCTTCAAACCGTCCTCCTGCTCGACTGCTGATTCACTTTTATGAATGTCTTTCCACTCCTCAACAAGTCCAACAAAGTCTCTCGGCAAATACGGCGAGGTTAACTCAGATAACCAACTTGCTTTACGGTTGATGCCTAGCCCAAGATCCCTCATCAATAAATTGGAATATGCCAGACCTTCGAAAACAAAGTCTGGGAGACTGGCACCATAGCCACATGGAAAACGCCATTTGCCCCACTGGGTATGTAGCATGATTTCGTCCGTGATCTCCCCCATAGAAGTTGGAAGACGATCCAGCTTTCCGTCAAGATACGCAGAAATCCACTGCCCTTGGATGGTTGCAACCACCGAAGTACTAACCGAGGAAACCATGCCTGCAAATGCCAAGCTGCGGGAGCCAACCATGGAGGCCGGAACCATGAAACGGTAGTACCGCAAGGGATCCATGTCCTTGGGCTCAAAACGGAGCTTCGGCTGGTTTTTGAGGCGGGGAAATAGAGACAGGACCTTTTTGTCTGCTTCTTGGTTGAGGACTGCTTTCTCCGAGTCTGTGTATGGAAGGCCGAGCCCTTCTGGGCCGAGACCAGAAAATTTGATTGTCGATTCTTTCTTCCAACCGGTGGACAGAACGAGGAGTTCGGCATCCAGAGCTTCTCCAGATGAGAGAATGACCTTCTTGGGTTCTAATCGGTCGATGTTGTCGATATGAACCTTGATCTTTCCCTGTTTGACCAGGTCGAAGAGACTTGTGTCGTAGTTTAAAATGCTCAGTCCGCTGCCAATCCAGAAAGCCGAGTTCCACGGTTTGAGCTTCTTTAGCTCAGGATGGGAATCATATGCATTGGCAGATACGACATCTCCAGCAAGAACCTTCCAAAACGTATCGACGAGGAATCGGCCTATGGCAGATCCATGGAGAAAGCGGCGCACACGGGAATAGCCACCTGCGTCGCCCCAGGGACATGGACTGAACCACGTCATCCAACGAACATTGAGAAGCTGATCCAATCGCTTCTTGAACGGCGTGACAAAAGGCGGCGCTATCCAAACAGGCCCTTGGCCATTGGGTCGAATAACCAAATCAACTTCAGCCCCGTCTAGGACCAAGGCATAGGCGACGTCAAACGCAGACTTGGCGCCGCCAACGACTACAGCGTTCTTGATTTTCCCCACGTTTGGAGCCTCTCGGCAGAAGTCTTTAGCGTGGAACAATGGAGCCCCGAAATTCTCCGAGTTCTTATACACGGGAATGTTCGGTGTTGACGTGAGTCCAGTGGCAAGGATCAGTTTGGCGGTCTCGATGGATTGAGGACCGCTGGGCGTAGTAACAGACAGACGCCAGCCATTTGAACCATTAGGCTCTACCAACTCAACACGTGTGTTGAATTGAATGGCGTTGAAGAAATTGAAATGCTTGGCAAAGTCGGTAAGGTAGCGGTGCAAGACGGCTCCTGGAATATGATTGTTAGATTTGACACCATACTTTTCCTCCGTCATGGGAAAATCCGGATATTCATAGGTTCCAATCATGTTGTTTGACTTGAGGCCTGGGTAGAGGCGATTCTGGGACCATGTTCCACCACAGGACTCGGCAGATTCCAAGACTGTAATCTTGGAATCCGGATGAAGCTGGACATAGGCCTTGGCAGCAGCCAGGCCAAACCAACCTGCGATTTGTGAGCAAATGCATTCCATCACCACTTCCTCGAAGAAGTTGGTCAACTCACCGGCACCAACAATCACCACGTCATACTCTCCTGCCATCGTCGCCAGCGGAGATTCCGATACGTCTTCGGGTCGAGGGCTTGCAAATCTTGGCAAGGGCTCCGTATTGAATCTGGTACAGAAACTGAGCTTGAAAAGGGGTTTGTTGCTCTTCGCTTTTTCAGTGGGGAAGGCATGGTATTAGCTCTTGCTACGTTCTTATCTTAGCTGGACGCTATCCAGGTGTTCATACCAGGGTAGCCTCCTTATCATGCTAGTCCAAGGTTTTGTTCAAACGCGGAATAGGAACATGTGTATTGTGGCTTCCGTGCTGCATTATCTATGGTCTGCTATGGGAAATATGGGTTCCTGCCTAGTGGCTCACATTAGCCTGTGTGTGAATTCAAGCCATTGGGACAGGGATCGGGTGTTCCGGTTCCGGTCCAGCAACTTGTCTTGTTCCGATAGGTCGCCACTCTCTCAAACTACCCCTAATCTTTGTAGTGGCCAGCTAGTCTGGACTAAGGTTAGACGGCTTCAGTGACTGACTTATTGCAGTTCCATGCGAGGCTGGTGTGATCGCGATCGCCACATTTCAGGGGTGAAACGAGTCAGGGACAAATGACTCACCAATATTTCTCACACTGGCGTAACCACTTGCTCAGCTACACTGTATCGCATTATTCTCGCATAGCTTCGTAGGTTTAACTACACTTCGTAACTAATACTGCCGTCAATCGTACCTGCATGGAGCCCTCCTGTGATAGGTATATCCGCAGCCGTAGTATGCCTTGCCGCATCGCTGAGCAGGTAGATCACGGCCCCCATCAAATCATCCGTCGTTCTAAGACGTTGATTCGGCGGTGACAGCCACATTTGAGCCCCAGCCCGTTCATACTTTGTTGCTCGGACTGCTCGCATCATTTCAGAGTCGACGAATCCCGGGGGGATGGTGTTGACCCGGATGTTGCTTGGTGCGAGTTCAACTGCCTGCACTTTGGCTAGCATCATGACTGCGCCATTTGAAGCATTGTACGCAGCCATTCTACAACTTAACCTGGGAGAGCTATGTGCACTGATTGAGAGGCAATCAATACCATGCTGCCAGGAGTTCCTTAGCTGATAATCTGCCTAGCAACAAGCTGTGCCGTAAAGAACGTGCCTCGAACGTAGAGTTTATCTCGGGTTAATTCTCATCTCAGACCCATACAGATGATTTATGAGAAAAGTGCTTACGTTGATCTCTTGGATCCTGGTAAACTCATCCCAATTTTGGTCAAGAAACGGTTTGTCGATGGCAATCCCAGCGCACGGCACGCAACCATCAATTGATCCAAGCGCAATAACCGCGATCTTGAACGATATCTCTAAACTGTATTGATTCGTAACATTCGTCTTGAAAAACAACGCTTTGGTACCGAATTCATTCTTTAGCGAATCAAATTCATTCACGGGCTACTCTTGGATGTCCAGCACAACGACATTGCGTCCCATTTCGCAAATTGCGCGGTAAGAGCAAACCCAATGCCCTGCGCACCACCAGTGACGATGTAGTTGCGATCGCGCAGTTCAAAATTCGGGCGACCATGACTACTTTGAACTGATGAACCAGTCATGATGATTTCTTGAGGTTCTTAGGTCTCAATTGGAGAGGAGTTTGCACTTTGCTGTGAAGGAGGGTGAATGATTGAGGTTCATGAAACATGTCAAATATCGGCTTTTCAGAAGGAACTCGTCTCCTACCTGACATGTAACCCAAACTACCAGTCACAGACAATCATTCCACGAGAGTCGATTATCTCTACGCGCCGTCTCCAAGACACTGAGAATGACTTGATCACCACCTTGTTCCTCGTCGGTGTGGGCAAAGCCCCCACTTGTCATTCCGCCTCCTCGGAACTTCCGATCGGGCATCGGAATGGCGTTTGCATAGCCTTCTGTGATGATACTGAGTTGATACGATGATCATGACAATTTTGGATGCAAGTTAATCCTTTTTAATTGTGTTGGAATAGTACGGTCGGGTATGCCACTCCATTATCAGCTCTTCGTAGAGTGAATGTTTGCCGACATTGGCAACTACCCGCTACCCTGGAGCAATTATTTTGCCACCACCAACAACCAGGTCTTGGCGAATTCCGTCATGCTGTATCCCAGATTGATGCAACGTCTTAGTCAGTATCTTTTATAATTCGCCGTATTTTGATAAAAACAGACGGAGAAAGAATACAGACTGGTGATGGGTTTTGCGTGGCTTTTTCGTAATAAGCAGGGGCCTGTGTTGAGTTGTCATGTAGCGACTGAAGTCATTATGAGATAACTCATGCAAAGCTGCCCAATGGAGAGAAAAACGAAAACCTACTGCATCACACCCGTAATTTGTATCCTTCAATTCTTTTTTAATTCAGTACGTCTTCTTTTGAACGTTATGAACAGCGTGTATCGTGGACAACGAAGGAGCATCTAATGCAGGTGTCGAGATCGATGAGAGATAAGTAACAGATGACCAGGATTTGATTCCAAATAAGCAAACGACCAGGGACTCGGATCTTGGACCCCGCAGTGCGTTAAACGTATATCAAAGTTGATTACTGTCCAAACCTTTATTGGCTGGTGTGCTTTGTCGGGTAAGGGGTGTGAGATAGCCGTCTGCCGGCCGATTCTTCCCCGCACTTCCATGCGATGATGAACGGGTCGAGCTTTGAGGCAACTTGGAGCTGTTGAACTTGGTGACCTCTTATCATTCTGAGTGGAGACTCGGACTGGTGGAACTGATAGCTGGGCAACAAGGCTGCACGCAAATCTGAAGCTGCTCGTGGGTAGTTTGCTGCATAATCATTTTCTCACTAGCTGTTACTTCCGGCCATCTTGCTCCGCCTCACGTCTGCATCTCAACGAAGCCCCCAAAGGCAGTCAACCATACCCCTGGCTTGCGCCGTGCACTATTGGGCATTAAAAACAGCGACAATGGCTGATTCAATAGACACTCGGGGGACGAAGCGCACAAACACCCAGCGAGGGTCCGATTCGGGGAAACGGCGAGCACCCTACGCCCTCAGAGCTTGCGACGCATGTCGGCGACGAAAGGGGAAATGCGACGGACGGCATCCCTGCGGACATTGTGCTGGCCGAGGGCAAAATTGCAACTTCAGCAATGGCACCGGCCCTGGGGACTGGACGGATATTCCGGCTTCGGCCAGTGATGCGGATCAAGTCCATTCTCACCAACTGGATGAGCAAGGGAACCCGGCCATGTCAAGGTATGCCGATTATCAAGTTTCAGACGTCTTGCCCCCCAAATATTGAATACCCCATTCATTCAGCTTGAGCTCACTCCTCCCTTTGAAGTGCCAGCGGAGGCTCCATCCTCGAACTCGTCTCCAGTCTCAAAGACCAACTCGATAGCCTGACATCCCGCGTCCAGCTTTCCAATAATCAGCCAATGGCCCCGAAGATTCCGTCGACAATGAGCCTTCCCGGGGGCTTCCAATCCCAATCCCCCGAGCGAATTGATCCTGGCTCGGGCAGAGAGACAGCGGGATCGGATGGACAACCCCATCGCCAGGCTAGCCAACGTTTTTACGGACCGACAAGTCCGGACTACAGCTTGAATATGGCCCAGATGAAAATACGAGAGGGAAGCTCTTCAACATCGCCCTCACAGCGCCCGCAACTAGCAAGCATCGAGGATGAAGAGGCCTCTGATGACGACAGTGGCATTGCAGGTGTTGATGGCGGCGGACGAAGTAAGGACCCATGGCCACCTCGCAACCGAAGAGATAATTTGCAGCTCCAGAGATTCCGATCACTTATGAACCTGCAAGAAGCCGCGCGCCTTCTGTTTGTCTACCAGGAAGTTGTTGGGGAGTACCATCCGATGGTGAATTTAGACGATCTCATGTGCAAAACTCGGGTCTGGTACACGGGCGAAGCGCCGACGCATTCTGACTCGCGAGACTACTCTCCTGGACGGCCAGTGCCCGACTCGGATGAAAACGACCTTCTCATTCTGAACCTTGCTCTAGCCATTGCTTTGCGTGCTGAGTCAACACTGCCCAGTGGCAACTCCGAAATTGAGGGCATTCTGCAGTCCAGCTTCCAGGACACTGTTAATGCCAAAGTGGTATCGCCCGCATCTAGCATCAAAGATGTCAAAATCATCTTGCTAGCGGTAAGAAATCCGTATCAACTCCCACCGAGAATGGCTTTTGACTTCGAGTATCACAGGCTCTATACTTTTTCTTCCAAGACATGATACGGTCTGCATGGCGGATGTGCGGTATCGCCGGTCGGGTCTTGATGGAACTGGGATTTCACAATGGTGATGTATCAAGGCATGTCCTGGACTCGGAAGCTGAACGCACGGAAACCAGTATCGTCATGTGCAGCGTTGTGACCCTCGACCGCCAATGGAGTGCTTCGACAGGGCTCCCATCAAACTTCCAACATTCCAGCTTCGAACCACTACCCAAATCGTCTGTAAGTAATAATCTCCAATAGCTGTGAATGGCTCTAACAATCCCGGGTCAATGGCAGATCAAAAACCCATATCTGAAGGCCATGCTGGCCTTTATCCTCATAAGCGACAAATTCAACGAGCCCATCTCGTGCGCTGCCAGAGGCGAAAGATACGAAGATCAGGATGCCTTCGATGTGATGAATTTCCAGGTTGAGCAGTGGCGAAAGAAGGCCGTGGGCAACCAATCGCTCAGCAACTTTGGAACCTGGCATTCGAATCCATCAGCCCGCCCTCCGTCATGGGCTATTATCTTGCACCTTCGTGCAGATTCTATCCGCAGTTATCTCTTGCGGCCTGGCTTCTTTTCCGCATCGGAGGTGGAGACTGGTAGAGAACAACTCCGTCCTGCACTTGACCTCGTGTCACACATGGTCAATGTTCTCTTCACGCTGGACACCACTACGGATATTTATCGCATGCAACATCCTTACTACCAGCACCTTCTGGCATCTGCCTGTGCCTTGTTCTTCCTGTTGGTTGCATACGTAAAACAGAATCACTCGACTCTGGCCAGCAGCCTGACCGTCGACTTTGTTGACTCTGTTAGCCAAATCTTTCGGATGACCCTTACAGTCTCTGGTAGATACGCGAACACATCACGGGCCTCCCGTAGGTTATGGAAGAGACTCTCGGAAATGCGTGGAACGCTAGTCAGTCTCAACTTGCTATCAGACAACCTTCCCGACCACAATAACCACTTCCCCAGGATCCATCTTGGCGAGCCCGAGTCTTCGATGCCACATGCTGTCAAATATGTACAGAACACCAGCGCGTTGAGATCGAACTGGAAGGGTCGCTTCCCTGGGCAAGGCTCCAATTTCTCACCACCTGTCGATGGCAATATTTCCAATCCGTTTAGCACAGCTATGGGTGCGATTCCCGAGAATGACTTGCAATTGGGATGGTCCGAGTCACTTCTATCGAACTGGCCAATGGGCGACGAGAACATATTCTTTGCAGAAGGACCGTTTTGACACGAATGATCAAGGACGACATATTTACTACAATCATGTACACGCAAATTGAGAATGTATGGTATCTGTTCATCGGGAACGCGATGACGGTCATGGCAACTAAGACATTTGAGCCGCTACCCTAACAGGCCCTGTGTTGTCCCTTCGAAATCCCCCCCACCTCTCAAACCCATCCGTATGAATACCCATCATATCCAACATCCTTCCAGCGCTTTGGTCAATCAAATCATCCAGACTCTCAGGCCGGTGGTAGAAGGCCGGAACTGGTGGGAATATCACAGCGCCAGCGCGTCGTAGGAACAACATGTTATCGAGGTGGATATCGCTCAGTGGAGTCTCCCGTACAACCATCATCAAGCGACGGCCTTCTTTGAGACTGACATCTGCAGCCCGAGAAATCAGGTCGTCACAAAACCCGGAGCGCACCGCGGCCAGCGTCTTCATGCTGCACGGCACAATCATCATGCCATCATGTTGGAATGAGCCCGATGCGATAGGTGCCGATAAATCTTTTGCCGTGTAGTTCACAGTGGCGAGACCCCGAATGTCTGATTCCGTCAAGGAAGTCTCATATTTTAGTGTTGCCAGCGCCCACTTGCTGATGACGAGATGTGTCTCAACACCGAGCTCGCGTAGGATGGACAGGATTCGGACGGCAAAAACTGTTCCCGTTGCACCAGTGATGCCTATCACAATCCTACGCGGCCTGCCTGGCATATGCGATGCCCGACTGTGTTGTGTTGGCCATGAGGCTACTCTTGGATTGCTGCCAGCTGCTTCGGCTGATTGACTGGAGTATTTCCTAGCTTGTAGCCTGAAGCCAGGTAGGTTTGGGAGGTCGATTACAGCTGGCCGTATTGACTGAATTCGTGGGATGGCGATAGCCACCCTTCGTAGACACCTTGTTTGCATTGTAGTAGAAGAAGGTCTACACTTTCGTCTTCGGAACACGTCGAGCTTAAGAATGGTATTCAAAGAACTTTCTGTCTTGCTTCCTCTATCTTGACTGACGTATTTGGTATAATCAAGCCTGAGCAAACTCCCGATTGCATTACCCGTGCCGTCTGCAGATTAATCTTACACTCGTATTTCCTATCGGATCTGGTTGTGGGTCGAACATGAAGCGGACCGCTTCCGATCTCCATGACTCCGTTCCTAAGTTTCGGAACCGGTTCCTGCGACTAGTTTAGCAGCCCAACTACCTTATCGCCACCTAAAGAAGATTGGGAATCTGTTCTGAGAATGGGCGCGAATACCTAGAGATTGGTGGCGATTGGCAATATCTGCGTTGGAAATTGCTGGAATTTTCGAATCCCAAATCACAGCACCCTTTTGGCAGATTGAAATCACAGCTGAAGGCTCGTCATGTATCGTACAACCCAGAAACTCCTCTTGGCCACACGGATACGTCCCAGGCTTTCCAATATGGCCGTTCAGACATTGTCGGTTCGACAGAAAAGCACGCTCGAATTGCAACAACAGGAGATTGCCGCACAGCTCGATTTCCGCACCTTTGTCGACGTTTTGCGCCAAGACAACGATCTCGCAGAAATTAATCAAGAGATCGATCCGCATCTTGAAGTTGGCGCTATCGTAAGAAGGGTCAGCGAAGTAAGCGGAAAAGCACCACTCTTTAACAATGTCAAAGGGGCCCGCAATGGCCTGTGGAGAATGTTTGGGAACGCTGCCAGCTTACGCGCCAGCGAAGAAGAGAAGTATGGGCGCATCGCTCGTAATCTCGGCTTGCCTCCAAATTCCAGCTGGAAAGCCATCCTGGAGAGGACGCAATCCGCGAAGAACAAGCCTCTGCTACAACCCAATGTTTTAGCCAACGGTCCTTGTAAACAGAACAAGATTTTTGGAGACGACATTGACTTGAATAAACTTCCAGCGCCCCTACTTCATCAAGGAGATGGAGGAAAATATCTGCAAACATATGGTGTTCATGTTTTGCAATCACCAGACAAATCATGGACGAACTGGTCAATCTTTCGAGGCATGATTCATGACAAGAGACGACTGGTCTGTCTTGTCGGAACAGGGCAACACAACTCTATTATTCGCGACAAGTGGCTGAAAGAAGGGAAAGACGAAATGCCATGGGCCTTGGCCTTGGGAATTCCCCCAGCCGCGAGCCTAGCTGCAGCTCTGCCTATCCCAGAGGGAGTCTCGGAAGCCGAATACGTTGGTGCTATGGTTGGAAAGCCCTTGGACCTCGTCAAATGCGAGCTAAGCGACCTGCTTGTGCCTGCCAACAGTGAAATTGTTCTTGAGGGAACTTTTTCTCTGAAGGACAAGGCACTTGAAGGCCCATTCGAAGACTACCTGGGGTTGCATTTCGACGGCGACCGACACATGCATCCGCTTTTTACAGTCAACGCTATTACATACCGAGATGATCCCATTCTGCCGGTATCTGTTCCTGGGAGGATCACGGACGAATCAGTGAGACTCATCGTATTCCTGTCATGTTTATTCCCTGTTTCTAATCAATTAAATAGCATGTCACCGCATCTATGGCGTCGGCCGAGCTACTGACGCTTTGCAAAAACCACGATCTGCCTATTAATGACGCGGTCGCCCCTCTTGAGACCATGGCAAACTGGTGCGCTCTGCAAGTGGACACAAAAAAGCTCACAAGCTTGAAGACAAATTCGAAGGACTTTTGCTCAAAGCTAGGCCAGATTGTTTACAACAACAAGAGCTCCATGTTGTTCAACCGCATTCTGCTCTTTGGGGAAGATGTGGACATCTACAACTTCAAAGACGTCATGTGGGCCTTGGTGACAAGATGTCGCCCAGGTCAGGACGAGTACGTATTCGAAGACGTGCCAAGCTTCCCCATGACTCCTTACATGTCTCATGGCACTGGGACTGTCAAGACCGGCGGCAAGGCGATATCAGACTGCTTGTTCCCCATGGAATATGAGGGCCGGAAAACATTTAGTTCGGTGGATTTTGAGACATCGTATCCAGAGGAAGTCAAGAGCAAGGTGCGGGCGAATTGGACAGCGATGGGATTCGATGTCGTTTGAAGTAGGTAGATGACACTTAGGCTTAGATTTAGTTCAAGCAATACACTATACATTATGCCCTTTACTGTCATCAACCTAAATGCAGGATGCAAATTCACTAACCTGTCAGGATCTTAGAGCCATTCCATGGAGCCTTGACTTCAAATTTTAGCCGTCAAGAATTGAGACTCGGGGGTGGGGTGCAAATATTTGCACAAAGCGGGAGTTACGGTGTCAAATGTCTTCAATTAATGCTTCTTCACCGCTCAAATTTGTGCTCAAGAGAGATTTGGGTTCACTGATTGTAGTAATAGATAGGGATGTAGGTTTCTGAGTACTTTTTACAGCTGCGCCTTATTCTGAAGGCGGTTGATCTTGTCGTGAGCCTTGACAAACTTCTTATAATTGGGGAACAACTCTTTGGGATCCCACTTCTCCCGGATCTTGAGAAATTTGGCGAGAGCAGTATCGCTCATGACCTTGGTCTGATTAAGCATTAGTAAGGGGCATTTTATTGCACTTTTGCATGGGGTTCTCACATTGGCATCGTCGCAGTTAACATCCAGCTCCGTGATATACATGCCGACGGCGACAGGGAAAGCTCGCCTGTATCGATCACGCATAGGCTGGTAAATGGCAGGCTCCATTCTGGGATCCGTCCATCCGGTAATGGTGGAGATGTACAAGTCTTGGGGCAGACTGAGGGCGGCATCTTCCTCATCGGGGACAATGTCGCAATGGCACATGAACACAGATGAGGTTCTGGTGGGCAGCTCCAGCATTGCGGGCTTGATCGCTTCCAGCAACTAAACAGAATTAGCAGAGTTTGGTTGGTTGAGAGACTTTACTCACTCTCTCAAGAGGAACATCGGGATCATTCATGATGCTGTTGATCTGCCATCGGTCTTTGCTATCATTACCGAGGAAGCGGCGCTTCCGTGCAAACACCTGCTCAACTGTCCTCGACTGCACAGGATGCATTTCCAACAGAGCCGCCTGGACTTCAGGCGTCATCTTGTCGTAAGCACTCAGCAGGGTGCGGGCCTCTCTGATCGTATCGGTGTAGCAAAGCAGATTCAGCGACATTGTAAGTTTCCCGTTAATCGGGATGGCGTCTGTAGTATATGAAGGGTCATACTTTTCCGGGTAGTCGATGGTGAGGTTCAGATCCGTGCCATACTTCGGGGTGTCGCGACCACGTTCAATGGCCCAGCTCATGAGCGCCATGTAGTTGTCGCTGTTGATATTGAATTTGAGGATTCTCTCCCACATCAGCGACGTCTTGATGGTTCTTCCCCAGAAACGGGTGACAACTCCAAAGAAGCCCAAGCCACTGCCGCGAGCAGCCCAGAAAAGATCGCGATTCTCAGTGCGACTTGCGATGACGGTTCGGCCATCGGGAACGACCATTTCGATCTTGTTGACCCATGTCTGGTTGGTAGCGCCCCAGCCTCGGACAAACCATCCCTGACCACCAGCCAGGAGGAAGCCGCCAGAGCCAACTGTAGGAGCATGACCATGGGGGAAGAATCGGTTAATGTCCTTGAGCCTAGTAGCAAGCTCTTCAACGCGACAAGCAGGGCCAAAGCAAATTTCCTCTGTGATAGAATCATATTCAATGCTTCGGTTTAGATTCGTCGTGTCAATCAAGATGCCACCGTCGATGAGATTGGGCAAGTTGAAGATGTGGCCTGATGAGCGGACTCCCACAGGAACACCAAGCTCAGTCGCCCGCTTGAGGGCAATGGAAACGTCATTGGGTGTTTCGACGACATGGATTTCCTGCGGGTATCGAGATGGAGTGTCTGCGGATGGATTGTTCTGCCGGCATCGCTCATACTCTGGGGTCCCGCGAATTAGGACTTTGGAAGGATACTCAGCACGAGTAGAATAGCGGGGCGATGCTGCAGACATGATTGATTTGCAATAAATATTCTTAAGAATTAGAGAGGTGATTGGGATGTACTACCGCATTGGCTTCCTTTTGCTGGTTTGTTGGCGGAAGATGGACATTTAAACAGTAGCTTCAGTTTCCCATAATGATATCCTGGTTAAAATGATCTACCCCAAATAAACGACCATGGAGGTCATCTCAAACCATGCTCAGCAAATGCAGAGAGCCTCACAACTCGCCTAGGGACATCGCCCAGGTCCGACGGAAACATGGTGTAACTTCGCGGAGGTGGGCCCACTCGTTCCGGGCATCGTCCGGAACGACACTGCAACCATCATACTTAACCGTAGTTCCGTTCAAATTTAGGAAATGCCTACTGAACTTTCACTAGGCTGTAGACAAAACTCAATTCTGATTCGTAGTCATTTGCCATTTTCCACATGAACGAAGTATGACGATGTAACCGGTCAAGATTGTCTCCACAGGCTGCTCTTTCACATGGTGTGCTCGGGGAACCGTATCCGGACAACCATGCCTCCTTGGATTGAAAAGTGGCGGAAGCATCGTAGTCGGAATATTGTTTAGATCCGAGTCCAATTTGCCATTCCTGTGAAGGACGCATGCGGGTGGAACCAAGAGTCCTGAAAGCTGGCCGACTTTCTTCGGAATAGTAATACCAGTGATGCGTATGGTGGGAAGTGGGCACCAGCGACAGATGCGGTTGGGATTGCCCCATCCAGAGGAACTGGGTTATTTTCAATTCGACTCATCGTCAAACCATCTCCTGCCTCAAACAGCTTGCCCGTGATACGAACAGTGGGCATCTAGCACCTGCATCTCATTGTCAAGCCTCAGGAGACGAAATGGGAGAAACAATTACAGCATGCGAAGTCGCCAGACACAATAAGACGGATGATGTCTGGGTTGTTGTGGATGGCGAAGTATTCGACATGACAGCTTTCGCGCCCGAGCACCCCGGAGGACCAGAAAGTATGTACACGCAAATAAGATTTGGAGCCAGAGATTAATAAATATTTGAAGTTATATACCAATATGCGGGACGAGATGCCTCCTCGACATACAATGAGGTCCACGCACCCTCTCTGATTCGGCGGTCGCTTGACGCAAAGGCACACATCGGAACACTTGATGCGTCTAGCATCACCGACGAATGGAAGAATGCCAATGCCATGACCATTCCTCAAGCCGACGACGCCAAAGGAAAGGCGAATCTAGAAGACATTATCAACCTGGACGATTTTGAAGCGGCGGCGGCGACAAGCCTGTCTAGGAAGTCGATGGCATTCATCCACAGCGGCTCCAATGACAACATCACGAGGGACGCAAACAGGGAATTTCTGAAGAGAGTCTGGTTGAGACCTGCTGTGATGCGCAATGTCTCCAGTGTCAATACAAGCACGACTCTGTTTGGGTGCAAGTTGGACATACCTGTTTACATCGCTCCAACGGGCGGCGCAAAGACTGGCGGCTCCGAAGGCGAGCTCACATTAGCCCGAGGAGCGGCGGCTGGAGGCATCATCCACTGTTTCGCGACACCGTCTTCCTACCCATACTCGGAAATCCTCGAAGAAACGGCAAAGCATGCCTTTTTCCAGCTGTATGTGAACAAAGATCGCAAGCAATCTGAGGCTGCAGTTCGGCAAGTGGTGGCCTCGGGCAAGATCAAAGCCATCTTCGTCACAGCCGACGTCCCGGTGGTGCCGAAACGCGAAGAAGACGAACGTGTACGCTCTGCTGAGACTCAGGCAATCGCTGGCATCAAAGTATCTGTCGGAGGCAAGGACACGAAGGGTGCTGGTTTTGCCCGTCTGGCCTCGTCGTTCATCGACTCCAGTTTGAGTTGGGACGATATTAAATGGCTGCGGAGCTTGACAAGCGTTCCAATTCTAGTCAAGGGGATACAGCGCGCTGAAGATGCAAAGATTGCGTATGAAATCGGCTGCGACGGGGTGGTTCTGAGTAACCATGGAGGGAGAGCAGCAGATAATGCTCCTCCTGCGATACTTGTTCTGCTTGAGTTGCACAAGAGCTGCCCTGAGGTTCTCGGAGCCATGGAAATATTGGTCGATGGCGGATTTCGCCGAGGCTCAGACGTTGTGAAAGCCATTTGCCTGGGGGCCTCTGCTGTGGGATTCGGCAGATCCTTCCTGTACGCTCTTGGATATGGCGAGGAGGGCATTGAGCGCGCAATTGAGAGTAAGCAAAACGGTTCAAGATTATATGGCCCCGGTTAACTGTGGAAACAGTCATCAAAGACGAGGTCGAGACTACCATGCGCTTATGTGGCATCACTGACTTAATGCGAGATGCTCATCCTCGGTATGTCAACACAAAGGATATAGATCACTTAGTTCCAGATGAGGGTCATTCTTACGTGAAGAGAGTCTTGAGGAGGTCGGCAAGATTATAAAATAATTCGAGACTTATGTATTGAGTGAATTCAGTGGGAAGCATGTGAGATAATCTTGAACTTAAATCTCAATAAAGAATCCCTTGGCTAAGTTAAGGTACTCTATGATATGACTTGATTGACCATCACTCCATCCAGGTGACAGTCTTGTAGTAAAGGAACTCATCCAGACCCTGGTAACCATTAAACCGACCAAATCCACTTTTCTTGACTCCTCCGTGAGGCAAAGGATACTCGTCATGCACAGTCATGGAATTGATGTGCACTGCTCCAGACTCCAAACCGTCGGCAACACGGAATGCTGCCTTCAGATCTTCAGAGAAGACACTAGCTGACAGGCCGTACTCGGTATTGTTGGCGAGCTCCAATGCTTCCTCTTCCGTCTTGAAGGTGAATAGAGACACGCTGGGCCCAAAAGACTCAGTCTGATACAGGTCCATGTTCTGGTCAACATCTTTGAGGATGACGGGTTGCATGTGAGTCTCGTATTGGCCTTCATGGCCTCCATCAAAGATCTTCATCGACTTGGCTCCCTTGGAAGTTGCATCTGCAACAAGACCATGGTTTCTTTTTGCTGAAGCTGCTGTAACAAGCATGGGTGTATCATTTGCAGCGCCAAAGACCTGCTTGGTGGTATCGCGGAAAAGTTCTTGAAACTTCTGCGCGACGGATTCGTGCACGAGGATACGCTCCGTCGACATGCAAATTTGGCCAGCCTATAATCACCTGTCAATTCATCATTTGTTCAAATCGTACTGACAATGATTTAAACTCACGTTCATGAAAGCTCCTCTCGCACAGTGCAGCGCCGCTTGCTCAAGGTTTGCGTCTTCCAGCACAATGGCGCTTGCTTTCCCTCCAAGCTCCATGAGAACCGGCTTCAGATGCTTGCCTGCCGATGCCGCAATGATACTGCCGACCCTCGTGCTGCCTGTAAAGTTGATCTTCCTCACATGCGGGTTTGCTACAAATTCCTCGGTAATGACGGCGGCATCCGCTGGCGAATGGAAGACGAGGTTGAGGCAACCATCGGGCAGCCCAGCCTCTCGAAAGATGTCGGCGATGGCCCAGTAGCACATAGGAGAGAATTCGGCTCCCTTGAGGATTGCGGTGTTTCCGGTTGCAAGGGCAAACAAAATGGACCGGAGGCCAAGATGATATGGGGCGTTCCTAGTTGAATAAGTAAGCTTCCAATGTCTGGCAACGGTACCGCGAAGAGCTGCTTTCTTACCAAGGTGCAATTCCCAAGTTCACTCCATAGGGCCTCTTGTATACTATGGCTTTCATTCCGTCCAGATTGGACTCTGGGACAGAGCCCTGCATTGCGCCAGAAATTCTCCCAGCTGTGTCTTTGAAACCATCAATGGCAAGGCCAATAATAAAGTCTTGGTAACCCTGATTAGCGCCGATTTCCTGGTTCATATACCCTCCCAGCTCGTCTCTCCGCTTGTTCATGATGTCAGCCGCAGCGAGAAGGATGTCGCGACGCTCGTATGCCTTGGTTCGCGACCAAGCCGGAAACGCATCTTGGGCATTCTGAACAGCATCCTCGACATGTTGCTTCGTCGCGCAAGATAAAGACCATACGTGTTTCCCGGTCAGTGGACTGATAACCGGGAATGTAGATGAAGTCTCAATGTCTTTCCCGTTGATGATGAGGGGAACAATCTTGCTGGTCGTGATGCTTCGGCGACCCCCGATGTGCCTTGCCTGGGCCCAGCAAGACCCCGGGTTTCGATAAATTCTAAGGCGATTCATTGTGATGGAGTGGAAAATGCTAGACAGTGGGTCGATTATTGTTAAGGAACACGTCAATCAAGGCCATTAAGTGCTCACAACCCTGTGACGAACGCTCTATCTAGAGTGATAGAACAGAAGTGAGAGTGAGGGGATTAGCCGCTTAGCGCTGAGCTGGTTCCCGACAATCTCGTGGCGGAATGGATTCGGATTCCGACTAGGATCCCATTGTTATTGTCTTGGCGTTCCTGGCCAAATATGGGAGACTGCATGACAACCTGAGACATGCATCGTGTAGGTTGTAGGTTGTAGGTTGCACCGACCCACTTTCCGATGCGATTCCTGGAGTTCCGAAGCCATCACGACTAACGGATTTGGGCAGGTACATACCTTGTCGAGCAAGAACTCACTTCGCGGGGTAAACATACAGCAGAGAGGCACGGGATTCTCAATGGGTCGAAGGAGAAGGAGGATGTCTGCGTAGATACGTGCCACCGCATGCCCTTGTTCAAATGGGAACGAGTCATCCAGCCAAGACTGGAAGGGAATGACAGAGGGCAATGTTGAAGTTTATTTTCGAACGCAAAGGCCTCTCTACTGCACTCACATACAAGAAACAAGTTGACTTTGTCATTGGGGTCACAATTTAGTGGGAAACCTTCCCATGTCGATCAAAGCTTGTATTGCAACTTTACAATTAAGTCATTCGGCAATGGGATCAATTGCATAATTTGTTTTTTTTTTAGCTCTACTCAATATCATCAGATAGATCAAAGCCATGCAGTATTTTCAAACAGTAGAGATAAACAATAAGTGCTACACCCAGCACCAAAAGAAACAGTAGCTGAAGAATAAGGTTGTTACACACTGGTCTCTGCCTGAGATCAACTGCATAATATTTAACTAAAACTGAAACTTGGTTGGTTCACATTCTGCCTTCAGGGACAAACTTTGAAGCACCTAGCATCATTCTAGTTGAAATCACCAGGACCCCTTAAGTCTAACTTCGAGAATCGCCGAAACGCCAGACTGCACCTTTTTAACAGCTTCCGGTAGCAATCGAATCAAGTCCTCGCTCGTAGAGACAACTCCAGCCCATGCAGTTCCTCCTGATGCTGCTTTTCCTATGCCTGAGAAGTCGGGGGTCGGCGTAAATGAGATGTTCAGACCTTCATTCGACAGCTTGGATCCATAGCCATCGGGGTGAACCAATGTCAATGAATTCCGAGGAGCATTCCATCCTATTCGATTCAGTTAATACAGAGTAGACACTGGCGGGTACAAGGTATCCGGAAGATACGTACCCTTGTTACTTAGAACCACGGTCAACGTGGGCAGCCCGTACCTCCGGGCAATCCAATACACGGTGCTTGGGACTCCAAACATGTAGGTGCCATCGCCCACAATCAGTGTTACAAACTTTCCTTTTCCTTGGCCCCCAGCCAACCAGTCTGAAGCCAACTTCACGCCAATCGTAGCGCCTCCGGACCAGCCAAGACCGCCTCCGCCCCCGTTAATGAGATGGCCGGGCTCATCTACCTGGAGCTGTTCGTAGATAAAGGGCGCGTTCGTGACAGCCTCGACGCACCAGATGGTGTCTGCAGGGCATGTGGCCCGTAGCTTTGAGCAAAGATAAGATGTTCCCACAGGCTCTGAGGGGTCGGCAGGTGGTTCCGCAATCTTTGCGAGCTTTGAGAGGTGTTGTCGATGCGATACTTCTAGCGCTTCCCATCTCTTGTTATAAGGCTCGATCTTTGTGAGGTTAGAATACCGTTGGTGTTGAGAAATGTAGTCGTTCAGCTGTCGGATCGCAGTCTCTGAGTCTGCGCGATACCTTCGGAAGGCCGGGATGTAATGCAGAGGCATATTCTCTTTCAAAGGATCGACATCCACATGTATGATCTTTGCATCGGAGGGCGGCTTGCATTGGGTCGGGATCCACGGGACATCGCAGTCAATGACGAGAATTGCGTCGGCCTTTTCAATGCTCTTGTGGCGCCCAATGCCCACTCCGAGGAACGCGCGGTGGCTCCAGGGGAAGCAAACATCGCTACCGAGTCCGTCCAGTACTGTAGTTCCCGGAATAGCTTCCACCAGCTTAACAAGCTCAGGTACGGTAGCATGGTTGCGCCCAGTATAGCCGACAATGATTAACGGACGCTCGGCTTCTGCCAATGTAGAAACAATGATGTCCAGTGCTTCTGTGGGCAGACCACTTGGAGATACACTGCCCCAAACGTCTTGATCCAGATGGTAGGGAGCAATCTCCTCCTCCATAATCTCACGGGCGCCCATGATGTACGCTGGGCCCTTGGGATCGCTGGTGGCAAACTGCAAGGCTCGGTTTAGGACCTGCTTGATGTTCTTGCCAGTCTTAAACTCGCCGGCGAAGCGGCAAAACTGAGAAACGATGGCCTTCTGATCCGGGGCATCTTGAAGCCAATGGATATACTCGGTGCGGGATCCGCGAGTCTCTCCCTCCAGGGTGAATGGCGAGAGGCCGGCGAAGACAAGAACAGGGCAGCGGGCCACTGATGCATTGTGCATAGCACAGCCAAGCATCTGAGTTCCCACATCAACATGGACCAACACACACTGTGGCTTTCCCGTGAGGCGGGCAAACCCATCGGCCATACACATGGCCACCATCTATATCCAGTCAGGTTTGTTTCTCCGGAGACTTCCACAGGCGATAAAACTAACCTCATGTGGGCATGTTATGACTTTGGGGAATTTAACGCCTTTAAGATGGGCCCCATGGGCCAGGGCCTCCATGATAGCCGGGTGATCGGACCCCAAGTTCACAAAGACATGACTGACGCCCGCCTAGACGACAAGTAAGCGTATGAAAGACCATCTCGCACAGTCCCGGTCTTGGGTGCAGAGTATGTCATACCTCCCAGAGGCCTTCAAAGAAAGCAAATGATGCCGAATACTTTTCCCTGCATATGGACGTTAATAAAGTCTCCTATGCTAAGCATGTGTGTCCATCAAGTCTTGCTAGTACTTACAAAGTGTCCATTACTGTGAATGTTACGAGTCTAAAGATTCAATAGCCAAGGGTCGGATAAGTGGTATGATTTGACGCTCAGCAACATCCAATGCAACATGTTTTATTAAGCCAGCGTCCCTACAGATCTCGTCCCCAGCTAGCTTCCGGAGTGACTAAGGTGTAGGGTAGCTAATGTGCCATCGGAACGGGCTTCCGGCTTTGTTGGGGTCCATTCCGGAATGACGTAGGCCTACTGCAGTGAGTTGTGGCCGGAAGGGGAGAAGATTCCTGTAGTGCGCTTCCATGAACAATTGCAACCCTTCTAGGCGGCCTCTAGATAAGAAATCCGTCTGCGAGGTTCCGATGTCCCAGGAACAGTTGGTTGGTGCGGGGGTGACTGTTCTAATCAATGTCCGCTTCTTCCTGACACCGACAGACGAGCACTAGTATCCAGAGATAACTTGTAATGGAATCTTTTCGAATCGTAATCTCTTCTATCAGAACTGTCGTGTAAATGTGGCCCTGAGCCCTTTATTCTCAGAGTGGCTCATAATTCCGGACACTGTCGTCAATACCGCCACGTTCCACAGTGGCGATCCGCACTGCCTCAATGGACACAGCCACAACCAAGCACTCACTGGTACATGCTTAAAACAAGGTGCCTCTGGGAATGTATCTGTGTACTATCAAGCCAACTGTGACATATGTCAAAAAATTGTGAGTTCTTTGGGCACAATACTTGGTTGCGCCAGCGACGACAAAGCCACCGCTATCGCATAACGATGCGACCGGCTGAACCAATATGAGCCGCCGATCTGTCCCTGTCTGACGCTTCTCACACCCAGTACTACGCAAATGCCACCCTTGACATGGCCGAGCCGATTGCCGTCACAAGAGCTATTTGCATCTCATGGAAAGTAATGACCAAAGGTGAGCCGGATTATCATGGGCGATGTGTAAGATACCGTACAAGAACCCAAAGGTCTCTGGCTAGTAAAGAGCTTTGTCGAAGATGGACAGGTAGGTATCTAGGGTTAGAATTGGTAAACTTGGATCATATGAACATCTTTAATACTGGGCGGCGCTTGGACTTTTCGGTGTTCATGGTCCAAAGCTTCCTCTGGCTTCTTTGTCTTCTTTGTACTCTGCTTAGCCGCCAAGAGAGTCACTCAGCCACTTGCCATTCGTACTCCGGCGCGAAGATGCCGTGCCAGGGAACTTGGCGCGTCTAGACCCACCAACAGCTGACCCGGATCCTCCGGCCTGACGTATGAATCTGCCTTGTTCACTAAGCCTCTATGGGCTAGTGGCCTGGCAGATGTCGCCTTGCCCAAGTGCAAAAGACTCGCAAAAGCCGCACCGCCAGAGCCGCGCTATCTGCGCTCTCGAGACGGAGTTTGGGTTGGAGTCGGCAGGAGTCTCGCTATCGCATTCGCGTGAATGGCTTTCGATACCCTGTCCAAACTAGCCGCGGCTAGCAAGGCGGCTGGCGGGGCGGCCTATACGTCCATCTCCAAGAAATGGTACCTTGTTCCGCTCGTTTACCACCGCGTTTGTATAGTGCTGACGAGGCTGTAACTTAGGGAGCAACGGAAGGCGAAAGATCGCGCCACCAGGGAAATAGACGCAAAGAAGGCCGAGGAAATCCGTCTACGGAATGAATTTCTCAAGTTGGTCACGTCCAAGGTCACGGGCGAATCTGCCTCGGACATGGCTTATTTGGAGTACGACGAGAAGACCAACCACAGGGCCGTCTTCCTAGTGACGATTCCCATTTCATTTGGCAAATTTGAGCTTTCGGAAAAGACATATACACTTTTGGCTAAACACATCGGCATGAGCCTGGACAGTGTAAGCCACTGGGCCGTGTGTGTCATCGACCGCGGCCTCGAGGCATGTTACTGCTATGATCTGATGAGCGATCGCTTGGAACTCGCCGCGATTGGGAAGAATTATTTCCGCGTAAATGAGATCACAACTGAGTTTGTAACGACTTGGAGCTCTTGCTACTATGTCGGGGAGACTACAAAATCGCACACCGAGATCCAGCAGCTAGGTGAGTTGACCTGAACCAGAGAAGTCGCCTGCATCGCTCCTGTGCTAACTCTGAGCCCTAGGCCTTGCCCACATGGCGCTCCATCCAAAGTATCGTCTTCTGTCGAACAACTGCCAACATTTGGTAGAGACGCTCGTCAAAGCCCTGTGCAACGGAAAGGTCATCAGCCAAGCCAAGCTAGAAGAGGAGCTGGCGCTTGCTTCACCAAAAATTGCGCGGGATCTCATCGTTGCCAAATTCAGGTCTAAAAAGGAACTGAAAGAACTGAAAGGAGACAATGATGAGAGTGATAGCGACACGATAAAGGACTTTTTCGAGACGATTAAGAAGGGCTGGGGCGATGACCGAAGGGGTGATTGAACGAGCCTTATGGCTAAGGGACTGGCGGTGGTTTTATAGAACACTCACGTCTGGACGGAATTTCCAGACATTATGGGCAGGCGTGGCAATCTGGGCGGAGTTTACAATACCAGCAGTCTTTTGTGCGTCCTAATTTTAATATTAGAAACAGCCTTTTACTAGGACCTGCTTCCCGGCGGTGAATGCGTGAAGTGAGCCACAGCTCTCGCGACGGGGCCTTGGACACATGCACTGTCACAATTGCCCTCCTCTCCTTGGAAGATGTAGCATACTGCAATATATAAGTCATGAGAATGATAGGAGCACTTGTAAATTCAACTCTCAGTATCTCAGTAAAATTTGAGACAGATGCAGTATGATGCGTAGAAAAGCTTCAACGCAACACTACTCTTCCGGGTTGACTGGGTCCGTTGACAGCTCGTCGGCCAGCCTCAGCGACAGCGCCGCGAGCGTAAGCGACGGGTTCGCCTCTGGACTGCACGGAAAGACAGACAAGTCACAAACCCACAAGTTCTCAAAGCCCTTCACCTTGAGGTTGGAGTCGACCACACCTTCTCCCTTGGGCCCATCCATCCGCATGGTGCCGCACTCGTGGGAGAAGACTCCAAAGCCCATGTGCTGCGGACGCGGCGCCGCGTGGTCGCTGTCGCAGTCGGGATCAGAGAAGATGAACATGTTTCTGATCTTGCGGATGATGTCCTCCATACCCGCAAGCACCACTTGCTTGACAGGGGGTCGCTGGATGTCAATGACAGGATCCACGCTCGGGAGGTTCAGCACTTCATTCCGATCGTCCAGAACGCCGATGAACTCAAACAAAACGCAGATGGTGTCGTAGTCTCCCTGGTTCTCAAAGCCTTCCTTGGGGTTGATGAGCTTGCCATCCCTGTTGTAGTACTGGGTGGTCGGGAGCGATGCAGAACTTCCAGCGAGGAAGAAGTTGGCGTTGACGGTCACAGTGAGGAGGCCAACCTGGCCTGCAATATTGACGAGCGACTTCAGGTTCAGCGGCTTCGAAGTAATGCCAGGATCTCGCTCCTTTCCGAACCTGACATAAAAGATGTCGTGGTCAATCAGGCCCTTGCCGACAAGAGGGTTGAGAAGCTGCAGGCCACTGTTGAGGGCAATGGTAGCTGTGCCAATAGCACCGGCAGAGAGGATCACCTTGGCCTTGCAGACATCGAGGTCTTTGATGATCTTGTCCTTCGTGTTCCGAACCTTGAGACTGTTGATGCTCCTGCGGCTAGGTTCGGTGCCATCGATGTCAGCAGATCTGTATTGAGGCGTGAGAAAGGCAGGTGAGAAACGCCCAGCTACTTACAAGGTAGTGGTTTCGCTCTGGTCCAAAGCGACGACCTCGGTGTTTAAGAGGACGGTCAAGTATCGGTCGTTGGAATAGATGCGGTTCATCAAGGCGAGAGTGGTGCTGTATGCGCACTGCGGGAACTTGTAGGGCGCTGGGGCGTTGAACTGGGCGGCGACGGGCATCAGATCGAACTCGGTGTCTGGCAAAGCAGTCTCCAGCATGACTTTGACTTCGTCGATCTCGGCAATCGAAATCTGACCACTGTCCTTGGGGTACTTGGCATCCTTCTGCGAGTTGTCGGTGATGAAGTTGAACGTCGTATCATAGCCTCCGCCTTTGAGGAACGAGCAGATGTCAGCTGGGAAGTAGTCCTTGAGAGTTCCCTCGCTGACCTCCGGGGTCCAGATGCCCCAGAGGTTAGTGCGACCGCCAACGCAGTAAACAGGGCCGCCGACGTAGGCCTCAGACCCCTCGGTGCACTGCACCTTGGCCTTGACAGCATCATACACGCTCTCATTGCCCTCGGGCGAGTTGCTCGCGCCGCGGTTGAAGTAGGGACGCGAGGTGTTGAGGACGTGGGTGGAGAAGATGACTCCTCCGCGCTCAATGAGCAGGACCTTCTTCTTGCGGCGCGCGAGGATCTCAGCGAGAGGGCCACCGCCAAAGCCGCTTCCTACGATGATGTAGTCGTAGGCGTCGAGCTTGCTGAGGTGGGTGACCACGTCAAGGTCGATGGTGAGAAGGTGCTCCATGTTGATGTTGGTTGAGTTGGCAGATGAGTTGTTCGATATGGTCCAAGACTCAAACAAGGTGACGTGGGAAGGTATTATATAGTTACTGGGCTCCTACAATTTTTCTTCCATACCGCTTCGCATCCCCTCAAGGCAATCAAATTGTTGTCTCTTTTCGCGATACTTCCGGATAGTCCAGCTGACGTACCTAGGGTGTCTGAAGACTTCCCGCTGTGGATTATCCAGCCAGCCACTATCACCTCGATGTGGCACAACGAGGACTATTATGCACGAATAGACGCGGTTTCTGGGGTCTCGGACAGGCCTAGAACGCTCCCGGGCCGCGGCATCCGTTCCCGTATCCCGTGTCTCAGTTGAAGCAAGTTTTTTATAGGAGGAGCGACAACTGCCTAGGTCTCAGAACGGGCTGTCCCCGCATCTATTCCCTTGCATGCCGTAACAGCTCAGCAACGGCATAGACTAGGTGGCAAATGGCGAGAGAGTTCAGCCATGTCTATCACTTCCCGTGTGAGGGATTTATAACTAGAGACACTTTGACGTGTCTTATATACTGGCATTTCTGCTCATAGGCCATGATGGCATGTGGCTGAACGCCAAGCTGAACAAGTTCCCGGCAAGCCATCCAATTAACTCTCTATCCCAGCCTGCATCCTATGTCCGTATTCCGTCCCGTCCTCGACTCACAACATTGCTAAACTCTCTTGGTATTCTCATGCAGTGATCGTCCACTAGTTCTCACCGACCACAGGAAGCGGTGTAAGGAGCCACCGTCATTGGATGTCCAGCGACTCTAGCTGTCACCTGCAGTTCTCCCTGCATTTATGTCATAGGAGTGTGCTGTCCTACCCCTCCATTTCCAATACTCCGAAACCCACTTGCCCTGCATGCCCGAAATTGATCGACGAGTCGAGGCCTGCGCCTGGATCAGAGCACGCATGCCAGCCACCGAATCATCGGTACAGGAAACTATTCCTTGATGCGTCTACTAGCTCGGTGCGGCCCGTCGCGTACGCTTGCGAATTGACTCCTCACTAGAAGCTAGGCGGTCCAGAACGCGAATATCTCGGTTACGACTGGATCGAACGGCGGTTCGATTGACGTTCTTTGGGCGGTCAACCCATATCGGAAAGCCTTGCCTCGAGGCGAGTCCATCATTGCCTTCCATCACTGCGTTTGTGGAAAGTACTGAGACAGCGGAGGCAAGGTAGCTACTAGCGCAAGCAGCGGCAGCGGCATAATGATGCAAGTGATCGGCCTTGTGAGACTCGGCATAGTCGGACATTCCAAAAATCACAATGCCTACATGCGAACTCTGTCGTAGGACGCCTGCTACCATGTCAAAGCAAAGGGTGTCGTCAACGTGACGAATAATTTGATCTCTCCTCGCAGCACTCTCGAAAAGTCTACATCCAGAAGCAATTAAGCCGCAGCGCATAACGAAACCTTCGAAGTCACCATTTGCTTCCTTTAATAGGCCGTATTGAACGATACCGCCGTGCTGCCCCTCGGCATGCTTACTATGTTGTCGCCGAGGCGAATGCTATGTTTTTGCTAGGATCTCCGCAACGCCAGTGATACACCGCCACTTGATAGTCGGTAGGGAAAGTTTGGGCCGTGTTTCTGGCCACAGTTTCAGTTGAGACTCTCCCTAGTTTTCAGGGAGGTGTCTTACTAGGGTGAAAGGACGGTGCCCAAGCCTCAACTTCAGGTTGCGAGGTGTAGGTGCATCATGTGCTACGAGATCTCTTAGCAATGTATAGTGGAGTGACATGGAATCTAGATGACAATATGCTGCATACGCCACGATGTTCTACGACCCTGTGTGATGTGCAATCGGATTAAGCACAAATGGAGTTTCCCTAGATGGCAAACGCGACTAGTTTGGTAGATGAATTTGTTTAGGCGTGCGTGCAGACCCTAGTGATCCGAGACCGGTAAGAAAATCGCATTCATTATTGCTTATATATACAATAGGAATCACCTTGTACTAGCCCTTATTTCAATATACCGTAGTGACAGAGCGTATTTGGGTGGAATGTGGGGACTTGTGGATAATCTGTTGGGGCAGAGTCTGGAATCACAACAGGGATCCAACTAAAGGGGGATCTTGATGAGACCAGCTGAGAGGACAGGCAGACTGGATAGTCGAAGCATCCCAATCAATGCTTCTCAATGCAACCAAGAGGGAAAGAATATGAACAAGGTGGTATAGCTGGTGCGACAGCTGGCATAAATTCACAAGGCACAACAGCGCAATTGGGAAGACCAAAATTGAAAAAGGAAAAAAGCATGCCCACCCAAAGGCTTGGACGGTGCAGTCGCTCTAAGTCGTAGCCAATATGCCAGGCTAGCCCCGCGGTCATTAGAACACCAGCGGCCTTTCAGCACCATCACAATGATCAATATTACGTTGTATATCTTGGAGAGGATCGCCAGTCCAGAGTATCACGCATATTTTGAGAGATACACCGATACTGAACGAAATAAAATTGAAGTCTCTGACTAGATGATAGCAAATTGTAAAACCCCGTTGCAAAAACATCGACCACCTCTTTCATCACTCTCACACCCTCACTTCACGCAGTCCTTGTCATCTTCACCTTGCTCAATCCCGACCCAGCATCATCTCTTGTCGAACTCACTGCAATCTCATACTTGGTGTCGGCGTTTGCGGGAGCTGCAACTGTAACCGACCGTCCTCGATCTCCACTCGCCCACGCCGTCGTGCCGACCTTGCGGATACTCCACTCAATACCGGGCTTGACCTCCATCGTCAAACGCATCTTCTGCCCGGCCTTGATGGGAAACACCTGTGTGGATCCCTTCCAAGCGCTAACGGCCACAGTCTTGGAGTAGTCACCGCCAACCTTGCCGATGTTGACAACGGAGTGGGCTCGCTCGGGGGGACCCCCAAGTGTGGAGGCGATCTTCTGGCCGTTGGGGTACTTGATGGTCTTGTCCTTGCAGGCTAGGATGAAGCGATGGAAGAGACTTGATGTGATCTTCGCGTCTGTGGATAGCGATTTTCGTTCCTGATCATAGTCTGCCTTGTTGGGATGCGTCTTCATCCAGTTATGCACGTCCGTAGGGCTCCAGCCAGCGAGACCGTCGGCGAAGTGGAAGAAGAGGGCAGCGGCATCCCTGTTCTGGTACAGGGGGACGCCATGCTGGTACTCCTCGGGGTAGAGGCCGCGAGTCATGATTCCGGTTGACGCTGGGTAGGAAAGCCCATCGAAGTAGCGGGCCACGGCGCGTCGCCACCACTTGTTGCCGTCGGTCCATGCGACGACGTTGGGACGGTGGAACTGCTCGACACACTGGTACATACCCTTGATGACGTCCTTTTGGATGGCCACGAGGGGGTAGTTTTGGTGGCTAGGTCGGAAGTCGAGGATGATGTAGCATGGGCTTTTAGTGCCGGAGTTGTCGTCGTCGACCTGCACAATGTCGCCAAGCACGCCGGAAACGAAACCGATATTGATGGTCAGCGGACAGCTAGGGTACCAAAGGTGGAAAGACCTTTCTTGATGGCGTCTCCAGCGCCGTTGACGATCTCGCTGTAGCGTGGGCTCTTCTGCCACTGGCCAGGGACCTGGTAGAGGCGCGCCGTGATGGAGCCCTGCGTGAATGTCTTGGTCCAGATATTGCTGCAAGAACTTCCAGCAAGGTCCTGGGCGCTGTCGGGTAGAGGGCCCTTCCAGAGGGGACAGCTGAAGGCCTGTTTTGCCCACCAGTTTCCGGGATCGAACTCGAAGCCGGGGAGAACAGGGTTCGCGGGCTCGGGCGCTGGGGCAGAGAGGACGTGGACCGCCCAGGCCGCGAGGGAGAATACGATGGAATTTTTGTGGTAAATCATGATGAAAGGTAAAAACTAGAGGCCTTGAAGGCTTCACAAAAGAGTGTACCAAGTAGTGGAACGAGGAAGGATTCCCAGTGATGTCGCAGATTCGCGGTGAAAGAAGGGGCAGGACGGAGAGCGACACGACAAAAACGTTCAGTCCGTAGTATACTTATAATATCATTCTGCCTATTCCTCGCCAAGGCGCCCAAGCATCCCACTTTAGAATTAAGCATAAGGCCGTTAACCTCAGGGGCTTCGCATGACCATGGCTTGTCACCAGGCATCAATCAACTTCGTCCCCGTTACACACGCCAACGCCATAGCGCGAAGCCGTTCTTGGCAAACTGTCCAGCCCTACAAAGGATTGGCTAGTGGTGAAATGGCGTGGCGCCGCCGCAATCAACTGCCGGCGCTGGCTCGCTCTGGTTGGGCGCCATCTTAGCCATAGCCTCCTTCTTGGCAGAAAGCTGAAGCGGAATGTGTTGGCTTTCCGACAATTGACGGCAGATGCCAAGGTGAGCTGGGTCCGGCTGAACAAGAATCGGAAATTAGTCAAGGCGACTTGAATTTTGCTGAAACGACGCCACGAAGGCCATGTTGCACGGTTAGGCTCCAAAGTAGCAAATATCAACATCTCACAGTCGAAGCTTCAGTGTCCGTCTACTATCAATTATGTCGCCGGAAGGATGCCAAGATTCGTTCAACAGCATGGTACGAAACATTCTTTAGTAGTTTAACTCTAATAATATCATGTCCATGATCATAATGTCAAGGCTCTACCGTTTAATGATTACATCTAGCCCAAAAGTTCGTGAACAATCTTTTTCAAATCCCCTTCAATGCTAGTCGCCAGCCCATCCTCCTCCAAATCGAACGGCACAGCCACCTCTTGCCCCAGGCCAGCGCGGACCAGCCTGATATTTCCATTCCCTTCCGAGACGAGATCTTCGTTCGGCCACCTGAGCACGCCTGGAGTATTCATGCCCACACCGAGCTCCAAAATGACAACCCTCTTTCCCTCGCGTCGGACTCGTCTTCTCCATTCAACCCACCTCTTTTCGGCTTCGCGGAAAGGCTCTGAGTTAAACCATGACCCGGCCCGTACGCAGATGCTCATCTTACTTCCGCAAAACCGGCACCACGGAATCTTTTCGGGGTCGGAAAGCTTCTGCGTAGTTGGGTCTAGCGAAGATTGGGCATCGGAAACTAATGGCCATGATTCAACAACGGCGTCAGGTCTGCAGTTCTTCAGACATTGGAAAACAGAGTATGATCCCTGAGGAGTCGACAACTGCTCCGCAGGCCAACCGTTCGCTACAAACAGCCCGTCGGCGTTTGAAGTACGCACATGAGCATCCGGCCCAAACTTAGCAAGCCTAGAGAGTAGCGTTTGGTAGGTTGATGACTTTGGCCACGTCTTGACCATGTTCAAGTGCGTAAAGAAGTAGCCCCATCGATCCTGCTCTGAGGGCCAACCCTCGAATCCGAAAACACTGTATAATGTCCGCAAGCCGTACTGGAGGAAGCCCGGGAAATGCTTCTTGAAAAGCGCCGTCGATGTGTAGTCTAAGCCTTCACTTGCGGATAACCCAGCGCCAGCACAGACAAGAACAGCGTCTGCAGAGTCAAGCCACTGGCGTGCTTTGCTTAGAGAGTCCGCCTGGATCAAAGGAGTTATTTGGTTGTCCGGATACGGAATCCATCCCTCTGGCAACGACCCAAGGATGTTGCTATAAATCTCCGTATCGGAATCTGTAAACGTGTTGTAAATGACATCTGTGACTGTCGTTTTAGGATGTTGCTGAAGCCACGAGAAGACGGTCTCGACCGCGATTTCAGCCGCTTGCTGGGCTGGAAAGGCAAAAAGACCCGTGGAAATACAGCAGAGGGCAACTGATTTCCTCCCATCTTCACCAGCAGGCAGCCCTTCTAGAGCATCAAGTATCGACTCGTAGCACCCAGAAAGTTGCCGCACTTCCTCATCTGTCGGGGAGGCGCCTTTGACCAATTGCGGGCCGACAGTGTGTATGACGAAAGGGCTTGGCAAGCCGTAGCCATGAGAAACAAGCGACTCTCCGGGGCTTAGATCAGTGTCTCTAGCTTGCATTAGCTCGAAGCACTCTACTCGTAGCCGAGGCCCTGCCCATGTGTGGATAATGTTGTCGATGCAGCGATGAGTGGGTTGAAAGCACCCCAACATCTGGCCGTTGGCAGCATTGGTGATGGCAGTGACATCAGCTAGGGTGGTGATGTCTCCTTTCCAGAGGCTGATTCTGACATTTGGAGTAGCGTTCTGATCTGAAGATATGGCCAGTGGCGTCAAGGACCCAGCCTTTGTCAACAACTGGTGGGATTTTCGGAGAGCAAAGATGGCGTCAAGTTGCTGCAGGATATCCTCTGGCAAGGGCGGTACTGGTGGACGCACGCAAAGGATCTCTTGAAGAATTCTGAGTTTCGATGATGTCTCGAAATGATCCATGTGCTCTTCATAGTGCCGGATTTGCTGACGCCATGATCGGTTGTGGTGTGAGTGCGCCTCCTTGAAGAGATATTCCAACGTGTTGTCCAACATTTTCAAGTGTGTAGTTTAAAAAGTCAAGAGAATAATTTGAAGAAGGACCAATATCTGGAAAGAAGACTTGATTATATGTGCTCTTGATCTTCCATGATGGTGAAGAGGGTGGCAAGAATGAGCAACCAGAGGGCTTAGTCACCTGGTACATCGCCATCCCGCTCGGCAAATCCCACATCCCACCGAGTTGATGAAGCTATACGACCAAAGCGGAGCATCACCTCGGACATCCCACTTTGTCATATCTTACCAAGTTACATCCCAGACAGCTAGTTATCTCACACCCTGCTGCCGTATACGAAAGAGCCGAGAAATTAAGCATGGATTTAAGGTCATGCCTGTCACGGCGCTAGTTCACTGCGAGGGAAGACTGCATATTGTAACCTGGGCAAAATGCCGATAGGTTGTAGAGTGATTAAATAGCAACCTCGCTAACTATCTCTAGTCGGTATCTGAGAATTTCAAGTGCTACATACGAAATTTCTGGCCAATTCTAACCCGAATTCGCGAGACGGTTGACAGCATGTTACAAGCTTAGAAAAAGTTGTTAAGGTACTGGCGCCACTTGGGCCAAGAAGCGACCTTGGCACGGTAGGCATTGATTTCGTCCCAGTCGTGAGCTCGGAGACCAGCATCGAGGTCGATCTGGTCGAGGGTGAGCCAGCCAGTACGCTTCCAGATGTAGCCAACAACCCAAAAGACAAGAACGACGGGCAAGGCAAGGCACTGCATGAAGAAGTTGGAGGCATCTCCATAGCCGTCAGTGTCGTAGGGGCAGATGGCGACAAAGAGCTGGGCTGCCAGGATCATAAGGCAGAGACCAAGTCCCATCCATGAGCCAAAGACACCACCAACAGCCTTGAAGGGGATATCGTCGAGCGAGCGGCCTTGATGGGCCCAGGCGCTTCGGAAGCGGATGTGGGCCTGGAAAATAAGTTAGAAACTCGGCATTAGAGTCAAGATGTGGACTGATGCAACTTACGGCACAGATAGAACCCCAGGTGAATAGAGCCGCGAGACCAGACAGGGCAAGAAGCCAGTCGAAAACAAGGGAACCCTTGGAGCCCAGCACAATGTAGGCAAGGCCACCCCACATGAGAAGGAAGGTGACAGAGGTCAAAGGACGACCAGATCGGTCGATGTAGGTGAAGATCTTGGGCGCGTATCCCTCCTGGGCGAGGGCGGTCAGGGTTCGGGAACCACCGTACACACACGAGACACCAATGGAAATGACGGAGACGCAAATGACAAGGTTCATAAAGGAATCGTAGCCCTTGAGACCAGCATCCTTGACGGCCAGGACAAAGGGCGAGGTTCCCTCTTGGTAGGCGTTCTCGGCACCCAGGAGACGCTCATCGGTAGAGCTGACCAAGAGACCGACAAAGGTGAGGCCGAGGACGTAGAAGCTTGTGGGAGTTAGTACTGTGGCATGAGAGATTCAGGACACGACTTACAGAGTGATACGCCAGAAGACCTGCTTGATAGCACCGGGCAGCGCCTTGGCGGGGTTGGCAGACTCGGCGGCGGCGAGACCGACCAGCTCAGTTCCGGAGTAGGAGAAGGCGGCGGTGACGAAGACGGAGCAGAAGCCACGGAAGCCATGCTGGAAGGCGCCAGGATCATGCCAGAGTCGGTCACCCCAGTACTCGCCGTACTTGCCGTCAGAGGGACCACCACCACAGACCAAGACCAGGGCGACGATCATGAAGATGACGGTAGCTGCGAGCTTGAAGCAAGAACTCAAGAACTCCTCCTCGGCGTATCCCAAGGTGCCGAAAATGTTGATGAAGATGATGAAAAACCAGAAGACGGTGATCCAAACGGCCACGTTGATGTCTCGGTTCCAGTACTGGCAGGTGAAGGAGACGACGGTTAATTCAAGCGGTAGGACGATGAGCCATTGGAAGACCTGGAACATGTCAGTAAACCGGGCCGATTACACAATTGGACTGGGGTGAAACTCACGTAGTTCCAGCCCATGGCGAAACCCCAAGAAGGATCGATGAAGCGAGCAGAGTAGGTATAGAAGCCACCGGAGACGGGATACATGACGGCGAGTTCACCGAGGGCGTGGACGACGTTGAAGATCATGATGCCAGCAATCGAGAAGCAGATGAGGAGAGAAGCAGGTCCGCCCTTGGTGAGGGCACCACCAGAACCGACGAAGAAACCAGCACCGATGGATCCACCGATGGCAATCATGTGCAGATGGCGCTTCTTCATGGAGCGATCGAGCTCAATCTCGCCAGTTCCATAGTCACCTAGGCACCACTGTGAGCATGAGGGGGACAGAATACAAGAGCATCGGCCAGCTTACGTCGTTGGAATGAGCGCAGGTTGAGCCCATTGCGGGTCATAAAGTCAGCCTCGCGACGATCTTCGGGAATGAAGTCAGTCTGGCCGGTCGACTTCTCGGGATCCTGGTTCGGCGAAGGCGGCGTGACGGCCTTGACGTCGGCGTCGCCGTCAAACTCTTTGGACGACATGTTGGGCGGGTTGTCGCGCAGAAGAGATTAAACAAAAGAAGGCTGAAGTTAAACAAAAAAATCGGCTGAGTCTAGAGAGAGCGCGGGAAGCTGCAAATGCGTCACAATTGCAGAACCTGTCACAGACCTGTCTCGGGAAGGGGAGAAAGACGGACAATGGGGAGCGGGCGAGCTGGGGATTTTATCAACAGAGCAGCATAATGCAACGACGTACAGTGCAGTACCACGTCGCACTGCGTTTGCGCGCGAAGGCAAAACAGGCAGGAGCAGATCCAGGACGATCCCAGGATACGGAGCGGGCGAGTGTTACAATGCTGGGCCTGTGTTGGGCCTGTGTTGGTGGCATCGAATATGCGCCAAGGCCGTGATGCATGGCGGCATCAGGCGAGAGACAGGCGGCCGACCAACGGGCGAGCCGGGCTGTTGGAGACGACTGGGACCGGTCAGAGCAGAGAGAGACAAGAGAGAGCAGATAATCCCTGAAAAGATGGCTTTACTGGGGCGAGTTTTTGCTTGTGTGAGCCTTCTCGCGCGAGTGAGTGACGAGTCAGGGGTGAGAACGGACGCCATGTTGACAGTCCCGGCGCCGTCTATCACTCTATCTCGTAACGCGTGTCTCTTCCCCGTTTCCAACCAATGCTCCGATAAGGTTAGTCAGTCCGGTCTGAGTAAAGACGCGCAGCCATCGCCCTGGTATCATCCTAGCTGAAGACCCGCTGCTATCCCTCACCAAAGACCTTCCCAGCGACCCGCTACTATCGTGGTTCGCCAAGCCTCCTCGGGGTCCCCGCACCTTGGCAAGCTCCCTGACCGGCCTATGGCTCACTGCGGATAGGATCGCTCCTTATCTCGCTTGGCAGGTGACCCTCATTAGACAAGTCGGGCCTATGGACACAGGCGGCGTATCAGCTAGGAAAGGAAGGTCCGGGATCGATCGACGGGGCGCTGTTCCCTTGGCATTCCTCTTGGCAGACGGGGGATGCTTCGTTGGTGAGTGTTGGTGAGTGTTGGTGCTTCCTTGGTGCGTGTTGGTGTGGAATCCAACTCAACCCATGTCAATCCATGACCACCCTAGTGTACAGTCCTTATTAAGTGGCGCGGTCTCAGCCAATCCCACGCCGAATCCTCTCGCAACCTTATTTGTTATCATAAGCTTATTTGCTTGGCGCGAGGTCAAGTGGCAAGACCGGTGGCAGCGCCGCAGCGGCCCCCGGGGTTGGACGGCGCTTCGGTATCACGTCGACGCACAGAAGCCTCGCAGAAGCCTTCGATGGCGATTTCGAGTTAGACGAAGGGCCCGTCGACACACAAAAGCAGCTTGGAGGCCGAGGGAAGCCGCCCCCTGGCGTCGCATGCGGACCTGCAAAGCAACTCGGCCGCCGGAGCCTCGGATCTGGCCGGGATGGTGTGCGCGAGAATCACAGGATGCGTCTTTCTAGAAGGGAGAATCGCAGCGACAACCCTGTCCTATGTCCTAGCGCCGGGCGATTGAATGAAGCCAAAATACCATTGATATACCGCCCGGAACCACCTGCGACAATCACAATCGCCTCGTCCGCCTCGGATGTCGCACTGCGGGGTAATCCAGCTCGTAGACGATTGCACTCATGACACATGCATCTGCCGTAAGTAATTATGTGTAATAAGAATGGCCTAGGGCAGCAGATGCGGTGGATCAACTCACCGGTGGGTCGACGGCTCTGGTAGCGGCCATTCGAAGACGTCTCCAGAAGCTCAGTCTCGATGGCCCAGGCGTGTGTTCGTGGAGCACTGGAGCAGCCAGCTCCATCCAAGATCGCATCCTTGCAGCCAGATTGGAGAGACTTGCGGGCCCGAGATAGTGACGACTCTTGGCTGGCAAGCATTCCAATGTATCCATTCTCACGCTGCCCACCACCGTCGCGATGCTGCAAGCTCCGGAAAACCGCGTCTTGGCGGCCACCAACAGTAGTCCAAGAAGGAAGGTGAGGCTTGGCACTCGATCCCGTCAGGCCACGGTTGAAACTACGATGCTACGCCGTCCCATGATATATTCTTGGCATTCGCGACGTGACCAGTCGATTGCCCCAGACGCACTGGGGGCCGCGCCTGGGATGCTCGAGTGCTATCACCTGCCCTGTTGGTAGCAGGGAATCAATGACACAGGCGGTAATAGTAATGGAAACTGCAAATACGCCTTGCTACGGCCAATATCAGTGAAACGAAAACCGGGACACGTGTTGCACGGGGGGCTGCAATAGATTGAGCGTAGTTGATGCTTTATTATGACAACTGTGTGTGAGTACAAGTACCCGCAGTGGGCCTCACGGCCGCGCAAGAGACACAGGGATCATCATGTCGCTGCGCCGCCCACTCCCAGAGCAACCGGCATTGAATGCATCGGAGCCTCCAACACAGACTACGCCCAAAAAAGAAAGAAAAAATCTACGGCTCCTTTTCGTCCTTGACGTCCTTTTCGTCGAAGGGGGAGTCGGATCGCGCAGCTGGGAGAACCTCCCTGCGTCGTATTTGCGCCCAAACCGTCTTGTACACGGGTCTCGCGAACAGAGCATCCATCTCCTCGAGAGTAACACCTAAAAACTCGGTTAGAAAACGAGAAATTAACCAAGGAGAGTCGCATCTGAATAGGCAAGTCAAAGGTATAAAGGCTTGGCCTGCAGCTCTTGGCTTGCGGTGCCCGACCGGGGGGCATTTACTGACCTTTCGTTTCCGGCACGAAGAAGAGCGACCATATACCCATGCACACCAGGATGGTCGCAAAGAAGAAGTATGCACCGTAGCCGAGGTCTGAAATCATGTACGGCGTCGAGCGCGCAATGATAAAGGAGCCCAGCCAGGTGTCGGCCGTCGTCAGCGCCACGCACAGCATGCGGATGTCGAGGGGGAATATCTCCGACGCGTACGTCCAGGTGATGCCCTGCCAGGTCGCGCAGATGATGACGGCGTTGATGTACACGCACACAATGGCGATATATCCCCATCCATCGCGGTTGATCGTCCCAGCTGCTGCGGCGGCAGCCGGATCGGCGGCCATCACGTAGCCGCCAATGTACCACATGGGGATGCAGCCAAGAGCGGCGCCCCAAATCAAGCCCTTGCGGCGCCCGACCTTTTCCACCACCCAGAACGTGAAGAGGAACATGCCCAGCGTCTTGGCGATCCCGTAGAAGCCCGTCGAGAAGAGCCGCAGGGACGTACCCGAGACGCCAAGGCTCTCGAAGATGCGGGGCGAGTAGTACGTGATGATGTTGACGCCCGTGAAGCTCTGCAGGAACATGAGGGCCAGGCCGATTCCCATGCGGTTGCGGACGCCCTTTTGGAAGAGCTTCTTGAACTGCTGCTTCTTGTCCATTCTGTTGGTGCTTCGCTCTTCGACTTGGGCTCGGATTTCGCCCATTTCGCGCCGGATGTACTCGTGGTCAGATGATAGTCCTCTAATATCAACGAGAACCTTTTCGGCGGCTTCAAAGTTATCCCCTCTGGCTAGCCATCGAGGAGACTCCGGACACCACATCATACCAAAGCAGAGTCCAATTCCCGGGACGAGCTGCAGCGCAAGAGGGATAATCCACTGCGTTTTCGTATTCACGTTTATCGTCCGGTCCGTCGCGTAGTTGATCCAGAAACCCAGCATGCCGCCTCCCTGAGAAGCGATTTCGAAAATACCTACCAAGCGTCCGCGGATAGATGGGGGAGCCGTCTCTGCAATGTAGACGGGGACTGTGAGAGACGAGGCGCCGATGCCAAGGCCAGCCACAGCTCGGCCGCCGATAATCATGTTCATGTTGCCATTCGCAGCAGTCATTAGTGTGCCGCCAATAAGAAACACAGAGGCTGCGAGAATGACGGTCTTTTTACGACCCCACTTCTCGGCGATGGGAAACGTCAGAAGGGCGCCGAAGAAGCAACCGGCCTGGCATGAGTTAGTATCCAAAGGGGATGGTAGAGGGAGATGGAGGGTTTTGACGTGGCTCGTACCTGAAAAGTCGAAACAATGTTACCCTGTATCGTATTTCTGGACACTTGGTCGCCAGCGTCAAGACCAAAGTCTCGGATGAACGATTCCAAGGCCATAGTGCCTCCAATAACGGCTGTATCATAGCCCACTAACAGGTCGAGAATTTAGTACCCAGATAGTTAACATGAATCAGAGCGTCACCACTCACTTGCAAGTGCGGACATGCTCGCCACCAAGGCGATCATGTGGATACGCCAGTTCCGCACTTCGGGCGGATCATTTGTGCCGGATGCATGAGTACTAAATCCCATTCTAGGTGGAACAAGCTAACGGTAATTCCTGTGAATTTCGAAAAGGTGTGTTGACAGCTGTAGATCTGAAGATGTCTGCCGGAACCAAAACTCGAGAACCGCATCTTCCTTTTATAATTCTTCCCACAGCCCAAGCAGCCCATTTTACCGCACGACCAACGTCTCATCCCAAATACAGGGATGATTTTAACTTGGCGAATAAAAGCTAGTGATCGGCAAACACTATCCAGATAAACTTATTTACCCCGCAACCGCTCCCCATGGGGAACAGGTCAGATGGGCAGAAGTTGGTCCCCTTGACGACGTGGGACTGCATCTATTCGGCGAAATGACTCCAGCATCGAACATCACACTGCGGGGTTGGCCTTTGCCAAGAGAAGCACGGAGGATTTCGGGATAAGCAGCTTGGCAGGGAGCCAGATTTGAATTCCCCAGCGCACCCGGTAACTCCCACGCTTCGAGGCATCAGGGTATGTTGGACACAGAGCTTGTTTAACGTTTACGGAAATCTACCCTGTGGGAATAAGCCCTCCTCGCCGAAAATCCTCTTGGTCGTCGTTTTCCGAACCAGGAAGGTCACACTGTATTACGCTGGATGCAACGGTATTGCGTGGTCATCCAAGTACGCCAAGCATTGGCGGTTCTTGACGACTCGCAATTGCCGAACACACGGAAGCCAGAATAAGGTCCGTCCCGTCTTCCCCTCAGACGGCACGATGTGACGACCGTTGGCGTATGGAGTTTACTAAACTTGACAATTTCCCAGCGTCATTTCTTGCCACGATTTTGTGGGTGGTGAATTTGCAGTGTAATCACTATATATCTCTACCCTGAGACTTCGTATCTGGGTTGAATGTGGTCAAAAAAGTCCCGTTGCATCTGCCTCAACCCCGCAAATGAGCTGTTTGAGATGCCTGAACCGTCACATCCTTGAAGGGCAGATGCGGGGATGATCTATTTCAGCATGAATGGATGCCAAGGCGGCGGGGTTTGTATGTGTCACACTCTCACCACTCCGTGTGGTCCTGTGGATCTTGGTCCATCTGGGATCCAGATTTTCTGGGGAGAAACCTCCACAATCACGATTTAATTAATCTCCATTTCCCTGTGCTTAACCGACAGCCCTGTGGCGGTCAATTTAAAGTTGTGACAAAGAGAAAATACCGTGGGCCTATCATTCCTTGCAGATTAGTTGCATCCACTCTAACACCAACGTCTTTGACAACACATGCGTACGGGACCGAAAATCCCTCCCGATAACTGAACCGAGTGTTGTGATTTGGAAAAAAGAAACGGAAAATCATTGTCAAGGCAAAAATTCAACGATGGGAGGAAGAGGTTCACGATGGTGTCGTCAACGCTGGACACCCAGCTGGTGCTTTTCTCACAGCTCGAGGTTTTCGGGGGGTCGACTACGGTATTCATATGCCTTTAATCCGTCACAATATTAATGAGCTATTAAACCCACAAATATATCCGACGATCCTACGAGGCCTCCGTCTCCATCTCCGTCTCCGCTTCCAACCTCACTTTTCCGTGCCGTGATGAGTTTTTCCGTGCCGCGGCAACCGCTCATAGCCCATACAATTAATCCCAACTAGGAGACCCCACAGGACATCTCGTGCCCCTCATCGCCGAGACCGTATGAGCAGTTGTTTCTTATTCCCTGTCTATGCCCCTGTCTTGGCTTGTTTTCCCTTGGCTAGAAGCCGATACACCTCGTTCCCCTCACTACCCCGCCTTATAGTGGCTTAATCCGTCTAAAGTGCCAGGATCAAATCCACAAGTATGGACATGACGGAAATGGGATTAAGACGGAGCAGCATCGATGATGGAAAGCAGACGGAATTGAAGGCAATTAGGAGTTCTAATATATAGAGACTGTTTATGATCAATCAAGATTCTCCGTCACTGTATCCAGAGGGAACGACTTTAGAAATATTTGATAGAGCCACGCTCGAAACCCACGATGCCCTCACGAACGTCCCAACTTTTCTTGTGGGTGCTGTCATCTGCATTCTGCACAACTCAAGTCCACGGCGCAGACACAGATACCACCGACTTCTCTACATGGTTTGACGTCACTGAGTTTCCCAACGCCCAAGTTTCAAACGTCTCCCGTTGGCAAGCCGAAGCCCAGGAACTCGCCTGGCCCGATCTGTGGCAGGAATACCAGCACCGATGCATCAATTCTCAGCAAAAGTACCCCGAGATTGGCAGCGCTGCACAGACAGCAGGATTTGTCACTCCCGCGAGGCCATTCGATTCGCTTTTTTTTGTTGGCGCGTCAGGTGTTTCGGCGTGGGCCATCGATACCGGCGACGGCCTGATTCTTATCGACTCTATGGACAATCCAGACGAGGCAGAGCAGGTCATCATCCCTGGCCTACAGGCCTTTGGCTACGAGGGAACCGACGTGAAGGCCCTCATTATCACTCACGAGCACTTTGATCACTACGGTGGCGCTCTGTGGCTACAGCAAACATATAACATTACCGTATATGCTTCGAAACTCGCTTGGGAGGCACTAGCAGACATCGACGGCGCACCTGTTCAAGAGAAAGTGTTGGCCGACCGGGACACTTTGACTGTCGGCAACACATCCGTGGAAATCTATGCGACGCCGGGTCACACGCCAGGGTGCGTCTCTCTCATGTTTCCCGTGTACGAACACGGCAAGAAACACCTAGCCGGGCTCTATGGTGGTGGCGGCGTCCCGAGCAGCGCAGAGGACAAGGCAACACAGATCGAATCATTCCAGAAGTTTACCAAGCTGGTGAAAGACCGCGGCGCCGATGTCCTACTTAGCAATCACCAAACCCAAGACCACACGTTGCAACATCTCGACGTACTGGCGAACCGACAATGCCGTGGAAGCCGTTGCACCCTACCGAACCCATATATTGTTGGGACTGAACGTTATGTGCGCTATTTGAAGGTCATGGGATTGTGTGTTCGGCTGAAGGCAGCAAGGTTGAATCAGCTCTTGAGGATTTGAATGTGGTGATACTGTAGTTAACTCTTAGTGGAACACGATTTGATGTCCCCTACGCAGTAATAGAGACTTTGAGGTATTTAGACATGGTCATACGTGTAGCTGTTTAAGTTCATGTAAATATATCCATCTTGGAGATTGAATCAGTCCTTCAAGGAATATCGGTTATAGATCCTTACAAGGGAGGCATGGAGGCTAACGCGATGCCACCCGACCCGCAAGGGAGGCGAAGTAGTAGCATGCAGGAAAATAGACTCCTTTCAGATAAAATCACTCAAATATATTTTCCACTGATGAAAGGTATTGATTATAGGAGCCATTTACAATCCCTTCCACCTCGATGTATCTCACGCTAAGGTGACTCCAGAAGGTGGAGAGCTTGGCACTCAGCTATTGGCTGTCTCCTCTGTCGGCATTCGGAGCGAGCTTCCCCGCACAACTGTCCGTAATCATGATGCGCTTCAGCAATCGCACACTTCAGTTCTGTCACCAACAGAAGATATCTCGTTCATAGTCCTAGGTTTGCATCTTGACTCGTTATTATACTGCCCTCGATGACGACGCTTCACCTCCAGACCGCAAACAATGAGATCCGGGGCAAGCTAGCGCTTGTCACTGGCGCCAGGTAGGTATTGCTTCGTTTGGTGCGTTGGAAATGCTCCCTACTTACTCTGAGACCAGTGGAGGAATCGGATCAGCATGTGCTAGGGCTTTAGCTGGTGAGGGATGTGACGTTGTACTGCACTACTCCTCAAGTCAGGTATAGACACAATCGCCCTCCTTCAATCCATTCGCCGTCGGCATTGTGGCTGATCGCGCTGGACATGCAATTAAGGCGAAGGCAGAGGCAATTGCAAAAGAACTCCGGCGTTTGTACCCATCGCAACTTTTCGTCTGCGTCGCCGCCGACCTTTCCGACCGGGAAGCGACGCGAAATTTGGTCCCAAATATACTAAATGACGAGCGCGTGGCCCGAAAACACAAGACGATAACAATCCTCGTGGCAAATGCCGGCCTTGGGAAACGTATTCGCGATGTCCAAGACATTGAAGAGGACGACTGGGATCAGATGATGGAAATCAACGCTCGGAGCCAATTTGTCGTCACAAAGGGATGCTTGGCCGGAATGAGATCGCAAGGTTTGGGACGCATTATCCTTATAGGGAGCATTGCGAGCCGAGGTGGTGGTATCAACGGATGCCACTATGCCGCAACAAAAGGCGCTCTTTGGTATGGCTATCGTTGCGATTCACCACAGATATGCACTGATTCTCATATAGTTCCATGGGACTGAACCTCTCTACGTTGCTGGCTCCCGAAGGCATCACTGTGAATGTTGTGAGTCTCTCTCCTGTCCACCAATTCAACGCCTGCATCAACAGCTCTAATACTGTTCAAGGTCTTGCCTGCCATGATTGGGGCGACTGGGATGATACCGGAACCCAAATCAAAGTATGACATTCACAAAACCACGAACGGGCAGACACTGACCTCGGAGACAGCAGCTGGATGAGCAACACGGACATGGAAGCTTTGAGAGCGACCGACCCGGGCCTTGCCATCGTTGGGAGCATCCCAGTGCATCGACTGGGCTTGCCAGATGAGGTTTCAAACGCAGTGGTGATGTTCGTGACATGGTGCAGGTTAATTAAGTACACATTTTTGCTAACATCTGATGTAGGATGGCAAAGACGGGGTATATGACTGGGCAGGAAATCATTCTGTCGGGGGGGTTGAAGTAGATGCAGCCATCTGGGTAGTGGTGAGACAGATAGGAGAGCGACAAACTTCCACTCGACCAGGGCCTCAGTCTTGCAAGAATATCATAAGCATTCGATCGACATTCCGCTGCCCCCCTGTGAATGATACATGCGCATGCTGAAGTACAAGGTGAATAGGACTGCGAGATAGACCCCGGCCCAAGTGGAAGCATGGCTGCTTACCATGGGTCATCCGTGACATACCAGTGGTAACTAGGTGCTAATTAATGGGCACTACCAGCCACCATTCACTCGGAGCTGGAGACTTCCGCTCTTTGCTCAGCCACATCACTGTCAAGTTGGAGGTCTAGACCGTTGACAGACCCGTAACCAGTGCCTTAGCGCCCAAAGCCCGAAAGATGCGGTCAATTTAGAAGAACGGCTGAAAGTCTCAGAGGGAGGTCCATCCTACGTGTCGGTGTGTCGGTGAATGAGCCAGCCGTGATGGGGATATTGACCAGTATGTCGTCTTTCTTGCTTCAAGCGTGTGCAGGCACTGGCATCAGCCATACGCCTGTACCATTGAGCCGCCCTGCTCCGTCCAAATCATCAGTTGCTGCTGTGATTGCGCTGAGACCGCAGCCCGACGAGTGGCGTCAGCTAATAATCCAGCTCTACACAGTCGCTCCAGCGCACCGGTCAAGTGTTTCCCATTCGAGGCGTCCAGACCATGTCGCTCCAACCTCAGTCGGTACTAGAACCCCCCTAACATCCAATTCAGCCCTCCCTAGTGCGCTATGCCGTACCGCTAACGCCCTGCGCTTCCAGGGAGGTGCCTACCAAAATGCCAATGACCTAAATCAAGGTGTCAAGAGGCTTGAGGGCGCCTCAATTTGTCCAGCTGGATCAATCGAAAGCTGCCGCTAACGCGCCAACTCAATAATAAGCTTATACTAAAGCCAGTGGTGCAAGTGGCCCCTTATAGATATATCTCTGGAAGGGGGCGCCTTGAAGCTGGAGCGCACCGTCTCTCCGTTCTCTCCACACTTTCAGTACACGAAGGAGAGGCATCGCGGGGCCTCTCAAGACGCGACGCTACCGGACGGTGATCGTCCACAGCCCATCGACATGGTTCGCGTCCGGAGCTTTATCGCTCCAGCGATCCTATGTGCCCCAGTTCTCGCCACGCAGGCCGATATTGGCTGGAGTCTTGGGATTGTTACCAGCGATGTCACCTTGGCCACTGACAATGTTGGAGGCGAGACACGATTGTACATCGATGCGCCTATCAATATTACTCGACTCCAGGCCAAGGCCGAAACTGCCACCTTGAATCTCTACACTTCTCCATACCTGTCGCAGAATGAGACGAATGCCCAGGCCCAAGATCCAGGCCCAGCCCTTGTCTACACAACGACAACTCAACCTCCCATGTCACATAAGGAGTTCATTCAACCCGTCTCCCTCAACATACCAGCCACCCCTTCGCAGGACCTGCTCCTCCTGGTCGACATTGTTGATAGTGAATCCAATCTCTACACAGCCCAAAGAACCGGCATTATTATTGTTTACAACGCCACGATGCAGCAATGGCTGGCTTGGAACACTGGAAAATATGCAAAGGATCTCAACTCTGCGCTGATCCAGAAGCTAAGCGCCTTTGATCCTAATGGACAGGACGAGACTGCACCATACGTTCCTGAGGAAAGCTACGTGGCATATCAACCAGTTGATAAACTTATCCCTAAAGACGGCATTCTCCCCGCAGCATCATCGACTACTATCCCTATGGACCAGCCTGCGACATCAATTACACTCGTCCCGACTTACGAGCCATCAGCCACTGACCCAGCACCGTCGGGATGCAAGTGCGACCCAGTGACTGTATACAGCACAGTCACTGTTTATGCAGACTCACCAGGACCGTCGGCTCCTCCCGACAAGAAGCACGAAGCCCGAAACGTTCGACCTAGCTCGTCAGCGTCCTCGTCTCTCGACGACAAGAAGCGTAAACCTAGGGATGACCAATCAATCATGCCCGCTTTCGTGAGCGCAAGAGTGACCTACATGGACCGCAACGGCAAAGAGCAACCAGTACGTTTTTTGAGGGTCACCGCACATGCCGATCTCTATAGAGGCGATGACAAGATTGGTACCTGGCAATCAATAGAGACATTGAACGAGAATGGAGAAGCTCTCTTCCAGTTCAGCGTTTCTCCCGGCCAGAGGATCGTTGCGCATACCTTGTACACCGAGCTCAAGGGTGATCATTACCTCGTTGGAACTCGAAACAGTAATTCGGACGACTTTCTGGTGACTCGAGTGCAGTTGGACCTGTCATTGAACCCATGGATGGTCGTGGCTGGAGAGACAATATCTGCCACCAACAGCCATGGGTTCAGCGAGTATACCAAAGGACTCTGGGTAGCCGACACCTTCCACACGATTACCGAATTCTTCAGCACCAAGGTGGCCACATCAGAGGGTGAGATGGAAAGAGTCAATGTGTGGTATCCGTCAGCCGAATCGGGCACCTTTTTCTCCGTCAGTAGCAAGGGGCCTTTCATCAATCTTCCGGCAATCGAGGCTCAGAACCCCGCCGTTATGGCACACGAATATGGCCATTTTGCGCACTATCTAGCTCGAAGCAAGGAATTTTTCGATGGAGGTGGTAACCACAGCTTCTGCTTCAACACGGATGTGAAGAAGGGAACAAGTTTCTCCGAGGGCTACGCCACTGCCCTCGGTCTCATGTCAATTGACAATACACATCTAACGGAGGGAGAGTATATGCTCTACACCGACAAGGGAATTACCAGCGTATTTTCGAAATCTCTGGAAGAGTTCAGCTGCTTTGAGAAGAACATGAACAACCAAGAAGGACGCATTGCAGCGGCTCTCATCGACCTCGTCGACCGACAACTCGATACAATCCTTCCAGCGAGAGATGATCTGGGTTTTATGGGACCTGATTTTGATCCAGCCATGCTCAATTGGTGTTTCACTCCTCGTCTGGTCTTTTGGCGTGCCATGTATGAGAATCCAGCAACAATGCTGGACTACTGGTATGTTGAGGCGTCGTGAGTCTGTAAAAAAGTGGGATTTATACTGACATATAAATAGGCGCAAATTGCAGGTCATTTTAACAGGCGACGCTGAAGATATTGCCTGGGCGATCCTGAAGTATAATTATGCTGATTTCCCACGCGACCCATAGCATTCAAATCGAACAGGCCGTGGAAAGCGGTTGATAACACTTGATTGCGAGATGAGTGCTGGTCTGGTTGATGAATGATGTCAAGGGACTAGAAGGGTAGATTCGACTGAGCGTATATTAGATGAATATGTCTGCGACTCATATCGGTTGTCCCACATGATTAGGACAAGCGTATCGATTTTGTAACTAGCGATAGTGGGCAACGTTGGTATTACGTAGGCAACAAATACTTACATTGGTAGTGTTAGCAACAATAAGCTCGGCAGACGAGCATAGAAGAAAATAGGGCACAATCTGAAGTGGAGTGACTAATGCCATGTTTTCTGACTGGGATTTCCCTGGTGGCACAGACTATTCCCAGAGGCCGCTGGTATTTCACCACGTGCGTGCGACTTGAGAGCATCATGGCTTCACGATGGATCGTACTAGTCGAAGAATTCTTGATGCATTTCACTAGACCTTTTCAACGTCTGTATCATGACTACGTGTTTATGGTGGCCTGTATAAGGAGTGCAGATGAAATGTGGCGGCGCTTTCTGGTCAGGATATGTGCCATTCCGAGTCCTTTCTCAAGTGTGATACTGTATGAAAGCGACTGCAATATCTCCATGCCAAGGTTCAATTCGACTTTGAATGAAGTACACTATTCTGCTCGAGTATTGGATCACTCTATCTTGCAATTTTCTAGGAAGAAATGAGCTTAAAAACTCTCATCACCGCCTCTCTGGCCCTGGCTCTTGCATTTGTGCTGTCCATGGAAGTCACTTCCCCAGCGGCATCTTCCCTAGCAGCGTCTTCCCCGGCGATTTCACACTTCAAATGACACACTCTTGTTGCGTCTCAAATGAACTGGAATCACCTGTAATACCTCGTGGGACCAAGGCGCCACTCAGGGCCATGACTTGCGGCTTGGTGTCGGAGCAAACTGGAGAGGACTCACTGTCGCGGGCCTAATCACAGGTGCAATCCGCAGCTACCAGGGCGACGGCCGTGCTGTGTCTACAGGTACTGCCAGCCCTGACCGCCTGTTGTGATATGGGGCATGACATCAGACAAAAGCTTAAGATGCAGAATTTAATTCCCTATTCAAGCTGCAATTTCCACTCAGAACATTATTAAAAGATCTTCTGAAGGAGCGTGTGTCGGAGGGTGATGCGATACGCGACCGCGACATGACAAGTGGTTCCAGACTGATATCATCAATTTTATTCCAACCTACTACTACTGCCCTTACAATATATAGTCATTTGGTGTCTGCTGGGGAAACTGAGTGGCGACTGCCATTCTGCGAGGCCGCCTTTCTACCCTGAGCTCACCGTCGAACCGCAAGCCGAACCTCCTCCTCAGCTACATAGCATCCAAAACCCCCACCTTCAAGCTCATAACCCCATCATCGACCTGGCGATGAGGCTTCCCCGCTAGCCGTCGCGACCAGGCCGCACTCAACAGCAACGAGACCAGGACGCAACATGGTATGATTCGGAGAAGCACGCCCGTTCCATCGAGGCCGGCCAGCCTGCCAACAAGAGCGCCTCCTCCAGCGATGGCGAAGATGAGCGGGTCCTGGAATTTCTCGCGTCGGTGGAGGTAGTGGTACGTTGTCATTGCCCACGTCGTCACTGCGATGCTGGTGACAAGCACCGCAGGGGAGTCGGACACGGCCTTGGGGATGAGGGTTTGGAGGAGGACAATCTCCGTCGCCCTGTGACTGTGTACGTCTCCCGCTTGCACACTCCCTGGGTCGAGCGTGGAGGCATCTATGGCAGAACCAAGCGTCCACACGTCCGTGGTCCGGGTCTGGGCCCAGCAGTTCATCATGGCGGAGCCGGCCGCGCCGACGACGACGAGGCCGCCCTCAACACATCGCCAGGATCCAATCTGGCAGATGTCGGTGTCCATTCCCACCCCATTCAAGTCTGTGCCGCAGCCAGAATGCGCCGGTATCAGTGATCTTGCGACCGCCGTCAAGGTCCACCCCGCTGTCTCGGGTCTGCACTCGTGGTTATCGCCGACTCTCGCTCCTTCTGGAAGGAAGCCCGCCAAGGCCGGGTCCTCGTGTTTATCTTTGTCTTTGGCGACATTGACTCGACGGTTCAGCTCGGGGTCTCGCAGGCTGCACACGCATGTGGTCGAGAGGGGATCTATTGTTGGCTGATGCATTGTTGGCTGATGTCGGTATGTCGAGGAATCGAGGAGGCTATATATCGGGCTCGGAAAGGTTTGTTGACCAGCGTCGGTAGTCGTTCTTCGATGTTCAGGCTTCTGAGGCAGCGGTGTGTCAGGCTGGGAGAGGTTTAGGTGTGGACTGCTGCTATTGCTCGAAGGACTTCAGAATATGCCCTGTGGTGACAGCCTCAGGCCGCCAGCCCATCGCGGGGTTCAGCAGCAACTGCTTAGAGGCCGCCAACGCCACCACGGGCGGTGCTATCACGCACGTGTGGCACTGCAGAGGGGAGACATCTCTGTGGAGGGCATCTCAGCCTGCCCGACGGCCTGGCGTTGTTTCCGATCACAGCCAACTTCAGAACCGAGCGAGCTCTCCAGGACAACACGAGGACAACACGAGGACGCGGCTCTGCTTCCGCTGCAACCACCACTTCGCTTTGCTCGACTTTCTAATCTTCTTCTCTCGCTCCAGCTTCCAGCACGCCGATTAAACAAGCACCGTAGCCATGTTCGACCACAAGGTGGCGCCCGACGACTTCCTTGCGACTAGCAGGGACATCAACGGCATCAACGTCAAGCTCTTTCAACTCAAGCCCATTCAACGATCCATTTACTGCATCACGCAGCCCTGCGACTTCTCGATGAACCTCCAGGCCATGACCAAGAAGAAGCTCCAGCTTTACCTGCCTGTCGTCCTTACCGTCGGTCCCGATGTCCACCACCGCAGTGGCGCTGACGCTCGTCCCAACGATATCCCCGGTGACAACGAGGAGGACCGCAAAGTCCGCTTATTACTCATGAAGTACGCCACGCTACACCGCGCCCGCGCCCACGCCCGCGTCCTCGCCAACAAGAAGTCCAGCTCACAATTGCTCGAGAACACGATCAAAGGCATCATCGAGCGCGAGACGCGCGTGCTCGTGTCAGGCATGACAGTGGAGAAGAGCTTAACAGAGCGCGAACTCTCCAAGAAGCGCCTCTACTGCGGCATCGAGCGTGTTCTGACCGAGGGTACCCTGTCCAAGCTAGGGAACGCTGTCAATGCCATCCTGGTGCAAGCCCCGAAGGAGGGACTGCGCACCAAGAGGTGTACCGGCCTGAAATCCGAGCGACGGGGCCGGGAGGAACAGTTGGAATACGACCGCAAATATCTCGACCTTGGGTACTTCCCCAATCCGAACCTTACCGATGTCGATGGCCATGTTCGGAGCCGCGGTGGTTCTGTTGACGATGTCGTGAAAGCCATCCTCGATGAAGACGGATGGCACCATCATGACGGCCGAAGACCTCCTACACGTTCAGCTCATGGTCACGGTTAGGGTAGTAGTCGCCTTGTTCCTGTGGCAGAACGCCCTCTAGCTGGCCACAGCAAAGGTAACGGCCACCGTTTACCGCCACTCCCAGCAAAGCTCATGTCTGGCTTATGTATCATGTGGGGACTGGGCGTGCCCGTTGCCCTAGCCCACCGCATCCCAGATTGGCTACTACACATCGTGGGCGGCACAACCGTCGCGGCCGGCGCGTGCGTCCCGGTGCTCCAACCGGCTGAAGGCGAGACAAAGGCATACAAGACCGGCGCCTACATCGCGTGGGCGGTGACCTTCGCCATCTTCATTACCATGGAGCTGTACCAGCGGCAGGACTAGCGCCGGCTGCTGCTGGGTCTGGTGGTATTCTGCGGCGCCAACCTGCTCGGATCGCTGGCGGAAGACTCCTCGACCACCATCGATACCATCAAGAATTGGGGGCCCCTAGCCCTCAGTCTCAGCCTCTGGTTTGTGCCGGATTGGATTCAGCTCATGGGCGCTCGTCAAGTGGTGGATGCCGTGGCGGGAGTGTGAGGGGACTCGGAAAAGACGTCTCAATGGAACGTTTGGATATAAGTCATGAGTAGGAACCGTCCCGACTCAGGTGCGGGGGAAGCAATTGTCGGATATTGGAACATTGGATTGTTATACAGTGAAAGCGCTTGAGCACTGCCAGATCTGGTAGAGCATATTCCGTAAAATTTATACTTGAACCATGGACGTTGGGCTGATTTGATACTAAAAAAAGATGCATCCTTGTTTTTAGTCCTTTGAAAGCTTTTCGCAGCGAAGGGCACGAAAGCCACATCGACGGGCAGAGCAAGGGATTCCCGAGTCAAGGACCACCTCGGCCGCCCGGTATATAAGTTCAAATACTAGTTACTTCGCGTTCGCGGAGGGATGCAGCATCCAGATCAGTGTGGACTAGAGGAATACATCTCTGGGCCGGGTACCCATCCCTCGGCCGTTACGCAGCTGATCAGAAGGCGACAATACAGCCGCCGTAGACTTCCCTCTTGACAAGAGCGACGATGGTGAAGAGCGCGCGATAATTGCTGAGCACTGCCAGAATTTTACGGCTCTGATATATACTCTGGTTTGCCCAACTGATACACCGAAATCTGCCTTGCAGCTGTGCCACCCCGCGCGCTCGTATTAGTGTGCGGCTGAGCGCTCTCACAGACGGCATCGCCGGATGAACATGCGCGACATTTCTCCCATCGCATCATCCATCTCCTCAACTTCAACGACATGAAGCGTCTTGTAAAACGGAGCTCGGCCTGGCTCTCGTCCAGAAAAAGCCGCATCGCTGAAGCTCGTCACTCAATGTCGCAACCACCAGAACCTGCCCCGCCTTCAGTCGCAGACGATCCTCAAGAGACGGGCAGCACAGAAATCCATCTTGACCTCTCGATTCGGCCTCCCGGACCCCAAGGATATGTCTGCTGGGATGCCTCCCAATGCAAACTCTGCAGCTGCTTGCGCGATCCCAAAATAATCCTCGATCTGTTTCTGCATCGCTTCGCTATCCTGGGCACAACTCGCGACCTCCTCGTGTGGAGCCAGGAAAATGAACGATGCATGCTCTGCATCTACATCATCCTGCAGCTCATTGACGAATTAGGCGGACCGGAATACTTCGTGACCGACGCGAATTTCATCATCCGCTGGAGCTTCGGCCAAGAGTCCGGCCTTGCTCACTCCCAAATCCACTATTTCGAGTTTGAAATGAGCTGGGGGTTTCCCCAGATGAGGACTCGCCAGGTTCACATGAATGCCTTCACCGTCGATGGCCAGGCTGCCGCAGATTGCGTTGCCTTTCGGCCCCCGAACCCCGTGGTCGCAGGTCCCGCGGCAATGGCGACGGCGCGCGGCTGGATCGAGACGTGTGAGCGTGACCACGCTGATTGTCGCGCAAAGGGGCCGACACCGCTTCCCACCCGGGTCTTAGAGATCTCGGGCGTCGGCGCTGATGACATTGCTATTCGGTTGCATGAGACTGGTGGCGAGGGGGGTCGCTACGTGGCTCTCAGTTACGTCTGGGGTGACCCAACGAAGCAGTACACCACCATTCAGAGTAACCTAGCTGCACACAAGAATGGCATCATCTTCGAAGACCTTCCTCACGTTGTGGGAGAGGCTGCCGTTTGCGCTCAGCAGCTAGGCATCAAGTATCTCTGGGTCGACGCTCTCTGCATTGTCCAAGACTCCTCCGAGGACAAGGCGCGCGAGATTGCGGCCATGGCCCAAGTCTACAAAAACGCCTGGGTGACCGTCGTAGCAGCCAAGTCTACCGGCGCCAGCGAGAGCTTCACTGAACCTCGGCCCGATATTCAGGGTTTACCGGGTACCTGTTTCAACATGGGCATGATTGTGCCCAAGGATGTCAAGGGTCTCTTGGCTTGGATCGATGGTCACCGGAAGAATCCAGAGTACCGCGAGAGCCTAGACTACCGCGACCAAGTCAAAATGCTGTTCGAGACGACGCCCTGGTTTGCCGACGAAGACGCTTGGGAGGACGACCTTTCAACAGTATGGCTCGCTGGAAAAGCGGCAGCTCGAGACAAGCGCGATCTTATAGACGCTCCGAGTATTGACGCCGAACCCATTAGCAAGAGAGGTTGGACGCTGCAAGAGTCTTGGCTCTCGCGCCGAATGCTCATCTACGGCTCTGGCCAGACCCTGTGGCAGTGCGGAGAGGGCAACAAGGCCGATGGAGGTCAAGCGCCGTACCAGTATCAGACCTTCAAACGCCATCACTTCTCCCCGCCACTGGATAGTGTCAACACAGAGAGGTTTAGTAGTATCTGGAGAGACTTGGTGCAAGACTTTTCAAAGCGACAGCTTGGCGATCCAGCTGACAAGTTGAACGCACTACAAGGTATTGTCCACGAGTTAGAGGAGGAGACTGGCGACGAGTACTTTGGCGGTATTTGGAAAGGCAACCCAATAGCCGGCTTGTCGTGGTATCAGAATGCCACCAACAAAGACCCCGACTTGATGGTCTTCACTCCCGCCAGGACCTGCCCTTCCTGGTCGTGGGCGAAGGTAGATGGTCCATTATCCTTTTCCGTTGCCGAGAACGTGACGGCTTCGGTAGAGGATATCAAAATCACAAAAAACGAAATCACCGGCCATTATCCAGCCTCAACACACTTGGTCGTCGAGGGCGAAGTTTCAATCAAAGCCCGTGTGTCGACCCTTGACACTTCAGAAATTCTTGGGCAGTTCAGATGGCTTAGCCCAACGTCAACTGCACAGCCGTTTTCAAACCTCCTTTACATCGACGGGTGTCTGACGAACCCGGATTTCAAGATTTCATACGAAGACGGCCAGCCCACGATTCTCTGCGATGGAGACTACAAATTCTTGGAATTGAGCAGGGGCAAATGGGATGGTCGTCAAAACATAGCGGCTGAGTCTCGAGGGCTAATGGTGGTCGCGGTAGAGGGGAGGCCAAACACGTTCCGCAGAGTGGGATTTTTTATCGTCGCGTTGGAGTATGATGTTGACTCCATTGCCGGCCAGGACAACGTTATCCTGTGTCTGTCTGTGGAGGAAGGAAACGTGAAGCCAACGGAATTTGGAGAGATGTGGACGGCATCACTCGAGGAAGAGACATTGACTTTGGTGTAAGGAGCCACAACGCCTTTCATCTCGGTATCCCACTCACTGTTTACCGTGTGTGGAGTTTTGAAGGTACCGATGCACCTAGCATGTAGCTTTGAACGAATTTTATAGCTTCGTGGATTCTTTAAGCATTGGAATTGAATCGAAGGAAATTCATTCTTCGTTATTTACATTAAGTCGATATCTTTTACTCCGTGCCATCTAGGCTGTGTGTCTTGCACATTTACAACCACTTTTCCTTGTAGGTCTCAACAAACTCCTTCCAGGTAGTGGGCTTCTCGGTCAAGAGATCCAAGCTCTCCTTCAAATCAGCGCCGCCGTAGTAACCGGGGTCGTCGAGAAGCAGCATGTTCTCAAGCATTTCCTGCGCGAGCGCCGGGGGCCTGCCAGTCTTGAAGGCCTCCTCGGAAATCTGGTTGAAGGTGGCGGGCTTCCCCATGACCTCGGAGAATTCGGACATGATGCGCGAGGGCGTGTAGTACTCGGTGGCAGCGTAAATGCGCTTGCCAATAGAGCTAGGGTAGTGTCGGAGGGCAGCGTTGACGAATTTGCCTAATGAGGATGTTAGTTTGCAGGGCATATCGGAGCGATGTTTGGGACCTACCGAGATCGCCACCAGCGTTAAAGAGAGGCACTTGGCCCTTGTCGGGGGTCACGGGCAGGTTGAGGCTGTAAGCTCCCTCTCCGTTGTTGCGGATCATGGTAAACAGGTTGGACATGAAGAGGCCGGGCAGCACAAAGGTGGCGGGAACTCCACTGCCGCGGATGTACTGCTCAATCTTGGCCTTTCCATCGAAGTGGTGGATGTGCGTCAGACGCCCGCCGCTGACCTCGCTCACGTTAATGAGGGAGGAGAAGATAAGGTGCTTGACGCCGGCAGCCTTGCAAGCGTCAGTAACAGCCTTGCCCTGGGCTATCTCGCCGTCTCCGGAAGGGTTCTCCCAGTAGTTGGTGACCATGAAGACGGTGTGAGCGCCGGCGACGGCGGGGGCGGCCAGCTCAATGGATCCCATATCGGCCTGGCGGGAAATAGTTAGAGCCTGCAGATTGCAAGGTCTGGCACAGGGTTGGACTCACAGCTACAACCTCAACGCCCTTGGCGGCCAGGGCCTGGGCAGCGGGCTTGGAGACATCGCGAGTGATGCCGCGGATCTTGAACTCGCGGGACAAGGCGGGGTCGTTGAGGATGGCCCGGACGACGGAGCCGCCCTGGTTGCCGGTGGCGCCAAATACGGTGATGAGTTTAGACATGTTTTTTGTGTTGAGGTGATGTGAGATGTGAGATTGAGTCCGGGGAATGAGATTCAGATAAGAGTCGATATGATGGAGTATGATGGAGGTATGATGAAATATATTCCCGCCTTACCAAGCCACGGCCCGTTTTAGCTATATATACACCACGACTCTAACACGGCCGCCATCCCAACCCTGCGACGTCACTGAGCCAGCTGGGTTGGCGGGGGATTCCCAAGCCTTACCAACCTTACCAATCGCCTCGTTCTTTAGCTCGGGGGCATCGGAAAACGCCAAGACCGACGGGCGGAGACCGATGCAGCGTCGCACCGGGGACGAATGCTCGAATCACAGCGCGGAGACGATGCGAGAATTCGGCTAGCCTGGAACTCCATTGCACTTACGGCGGCCTGACAAAGCTGCCGCTTGATGATGGAGATGCTGAAGTCACCACGCCCAGGACTTAGTCAGGCATTGGGAATCTACCAGGGCGGCCGTGGTTGGTAGATGTCTATTCAGCTGCAGGAGATGGAAAAGGGAAGAGATTTGCCAAACAAGGACCATCTCAAGAGCTGCATTTGCAACGTCACTTGAGAGACCTCCCCCGCCTTTCCCACTTTTGAGACTGCCTCCAGTGCAGACGCTAGACTCGAGAAAGCTTGCCTGCAGGCTTGCCTCTGGCTTGGCTACAGTGGTGACGCATTGTCAGAGCCTAACCGGACCGGGCGGCCTGGAAACTTTCCCCTCAATCCCAGATGAGGACACACTGATCCGCAGAGATTTATCTATAAAAAAAGAGACTATATTATAAAGAGAGATACTGTATAATACTATTTCTACTTTTGTTTTTAATTTTTAGATCTTATTTTAAAGAGTTAGTTTTTACAGAATACAGGGGGCTGATTATAGAGGCTATAGAGGGCGCATTACAGAGTGCTACAGACGGCTCGTTATAGAGGCTGTAGGGGCAGATTACAGGGGGCTAAGCGTACCTATGTGCACAACTAGCGATCAGTACACCCGGGCATGTTACGCACGCCGGAAGCACATCTGAGGTCAACCTAAGGTCTAAGGTCTTAAGGTCTTAAGGTCTTAAGGTCTTAAGGTCTCCAGGTCTCTGCGGAGTCCTATCACCGTCACATTTAAATGAACAAGAATACGGAGGATACACACTTGACTTACCATTGACGGTAAGAACATCTCCAGTAGCGCAGTTGATCTCATCGAAGAGCCTCTCGATGGTGGTGAACTGGATCACCGGCGACGCCATATCCGGCGAGAAAGACGAAGGAAGTAGTTCCAGAAACGATCATGATGCCTAGAGGTGGTTAGAGGAAGAAGGAAAGGTGTGATGGGGTTGTCGTCACTGCAAATGTTGATACAGTTTTAACTTTTTCCGGCTAGAGAGCTTGAAATTCGCTCCTCCTATAAGTATTAGGAAGGAAATGCTTGAACTGTAGATACCCTTGTATTTTTTCGCCCCTGTGCCGGCAACTTGCTCACCTTGAAGGGGCAGACAGAAGTTAGATTAGTGCGCGTGAAACCTTTACACTGTTGTAATTCGCCGTTCGAATCCATGGTCAGCGGGTTCAGGCGAGTGAGGTCGCGCTATCAGCCAACTGGTGTGCTTCGAGCAGTATAAATGAAGTCCCAACTCCGAGATAGAGGTAGAGACTGAGCAAAACTGTTGTTTAGTCAGGTCTGTCATCGAGCGAGGTCGACAATAGAATCGTTGTGGACCAGTAAGTCGAGCGAAAGAATGGCGAACCAGCTAGGAATAAAACCCCTCACTTCCTGGGCGCTTATTGTGCATCTAATTTGGGGGCCGTTTTCTTATAAGTGAGTTGTGTTGGCATCAGTAGCTGAGGTGCTCAAGACTCGGGGTTAGACATCACGACCACAAAAATGGTAGCGGAGAAGCGGCCTACTTTCATCCATCGAGGCCTCCAGAATGAGAACTGTTTCTCTCACACCTAGGTCTCCCTCAGAGCTCCCTCACAATGTCCGCCGCGGATCAGCTGTTACGTCCATGGCGGAATCCCGGTGATATTCTTTTCCTCCTTCTGCTGATTGGCGACAACACGGTTCAGCAAGCCATCGCTCAGCTATTTGGAGTCTACGTCCAGCCATATAAACGCCTCCCTCGGATTTACGTGACATTTGTGGCGTTTTCTTTTGGATGGGTTGCATGTGCGCTTACGTCGCTCACGTCGGCAATCGGCGACAAACAGTTGATGCCACCGACACCAGACTGCCCAACTATGATGGCCAACCGTTCCTGGCTACTTGGAAGGACTCTTCACGAATATGAGCTGTTCTTAAAGTCTCAGCCCGGTGAAGAAGTGGCCAAATCATCGGATGAACAGGTATTAGGCGATGCTAGCTTGGGGGATCATGGCCCGCTCAAAGTCTCACTCCGCATTGATATTTTATTATTAGTGAACATGGAGATGCGCCCCTCCAGATCGAACGTGTCTAGAATTAGGCTGGATAACCATCGCAAGCGAGTTCAGAATTTCAACCATTCCGGGGCGTCTATGGCAACTGGGCGATCTTCGTGATCACCGGGTAGCCTTCGCCAATGCTAGCTCGAAACGTGGCCAGGAAGGCGGCTCAACGAACCGAAGCAAGAGACCTCGCATGTCACAGACGAAACGTCGTCTTCGGCTGCCGCGTCGAATACCCCAACATCGTTAGAATGAGACCTTGAAAGATGTGGAAGCGGACGTTCCCGATCAACTGCTAAGGACCAACCTACAGTCACCAAGTCGAATTCCAAGGCGGATCAAAAGTTTCGATGTACTATGAAGCCCAACAAGGTCAAAACAGTGTGCCGAACTAGAGGCAATGGCCGTCAGTGTGTAATGGTGATTATATGTAGCAGTACTGCAAGAAGGACTTAGTATGGTGCAGAACTGTACGCTAGCACAGCGGCCCCGACGCGACAAAGTATGGGCCTGAAACTCGAGCCTTACGCCCCGGTACGCACTACCATTGGGTCTTCAAGCTGCGAATCCAGGTTTTAGCCTCATTAAAAGGAGGAGGTCATTATGGAAGGAGACGAGCTGACGACTGCCGACAAACCACTCATCAATGATAGGCTAGGGCCTATCGAGACTGTCGGTACTCGTGGCGCTATTCGTGATCTTGAGAAGACTATACCTGGCGCTGGTTTCGCACTCATGCCCATTTTCTCTCCTGCTCTAAGTCGGGTGGATGAAGAGCGCTACAGGGACGCGAAGAAAGTGAAATTTTGGCGGTTGATTTTAAAACGCCGTGAAAACCAGAAACGAGATAAGCAGTAGTGATAGTCGTCGAATAGGACAATAATAATTCCGCATTGGACAGGATCAGAGTTCCCAAACTACCAGGTTCTTAAACCAGCTAATAAAGAATGCATTACTTTAGGACAGGCTTGCGGTGGAAAAGAATATCCGATGTTTTAATACAGAAGAAGCAGGATTAATAAACTAATTCCCTTACTGTACCTCCTCCCTGCTTTAATAGATGATCGGCCGCAACAATATTTTATCAAGCCAGAGGCTCTGGCATCTTATTACCCCGACTGTCGCACTGGTTTACTTACAATCTCCAGAGTTTTGTTATGATACATGATAAAGAGCAATTGGCTACAATATAATTTATGAGAATAAATATAGTATACTAAGCTCATTTTTATTGATTATATGTAAGCTCTCTAAACACAGATAATATCAGTTTCCCCAGGGAAGTGTGAATCGAAGCCAGTCACGCTGCTTGTCACATGACCATGCACGTGATCCAATTTCTCGCTCCTGGGCTGTCACGTGGTTTCGCTCCACCTCCTCGCCCAAATCGCCAAGATGGTCGAGCCTTGTCGGGATGCGCGTGCAAACCGCACACGAGCGCGACGTAACGCGGCCTTCTACGCAAAATGACCAAATCTCTTACCGACGGTGAAGGCTGTGAAGGCTCCGAGGGCGCTCCAAGCTCTCCCGGATCTCAGATGTCGCAGCCTGAAGAGGTGGCCGAAATCGAGGATGGATCCTCGGACGCTAGCTCCGAAACCGACGATGCAGGAGGCCTTCTCGATATCATGGCCGCCGAGGGCGAGGAAACGGATGAAAGCGATCAAGACGACGATGTATCAACAGACGGCAATCGAGCTTCCTTCTCACTCTTCTCACAACTACCCCCTGAGCTGCGACGACGCGTGTGGGAAATCTTCTGCCCGGACCTCCGCGAGCGCTCAATCATCTTCGAGTTCGCCGTGTCCCCCGGAACTGCCAGATTTGACCACTTGGGCATGCCAGCATATGTCCGTCACTGGACGATCCGCGATTGGGTCACCCTTGGTGACCAGACGAAATCCATTCGCCAGCTGCTCTCCCTGCACCAAGAGTCTCGCGCCATTGCCCTCCAACGGTTCCCGGATGCTTTGAGCATCGATGCTGGATCTGGAGACGCAATTGTTCGTTTCAACAAGGACAAAGATGTTGCCTTGATCAACCAGCTCGGAGGCGCTGAACCTTCGGACATGTTTCATCTCACGGGCTTCGCTGAGAACGTCAAGCACGGCGGGATTGCTGGTTGGGAAAGAGGCGACACGTTCAAGCCCGAAGCCCTCGCCCACCTATTACAGCCTTTTAGCATCCTGGAGGCATTCTTCTTTTGCGCGTCGAGTAGGGCTTGTCGCATGGCCGACCTCGCCTGGTGTACTTCAGATCTCATCCATCATCAGTTCCTTGAGCAAACTGTGGATGAGGAAGAGTTGTTTTTGGTTGATGCCCAGCAGTTCTTGCACTGCTGGCCCGACATTTCCAACCACATAGACTTTGCCCGGTACCAAATCCCCCAAGATTTCTTGTTTCCTGTTCCTGAACCGGTTGCGGCTGTTTTACGCCAAAAAGATGCCAAGAGCTGGCCGATGGTCGTTTTTGAAAGCATGCCAGGCATGATGCAGTTCGATACCCTATTCGCCCCTGAGCCAGATGGGTATGAGAGCAACGGTTCAGATGAAACACGTTCTCATTCTGAAGCTGAGGAGTCTGGCACGGATTTGGATCAGTACGAAAGCGATGGAATCGACGATGAGGAAATCGTGGAAATTTACGACGCATCAGACGACGAGATTTCCTTGGATGGTCAGTCCCACGAGGGTGTGCCAATCGATGGAGATGGCTCAGAAGCGCAATTCTCAAGTCCGGAACCGGAACCCACCAACAGAGTCCGCAAGCGTCGCGTCGTCGAAGATTCGGATGATGACTCGGACGACGCCGAACCTGCGTCGAAACGGCCCAGGACCACTCTTGTCGCTTCTTCTGATTCAGAAGATGATGGTGACGAGGAAACGGAAGAGCGCGCGCCTGTCAAACGCCAGTCTCGTGTGGTTCTCTCCGACTCGGAATCAGACGATGAAGAGCAGATGGAAGGGACCAAGGTTATGGAGAGCCCGGGAGCAGATGAAAACGAGCCTTCAAGTGGGGACGACGATTCGGATGAAAGCGAGAGCGAATCGGATGGCGACGAACAGCCGGCGGTCCCGTTGTCCTTGGCAGAGCGGCTTCGTATGCATCGGGAAGTAAACCCCATCGAATCGTCTGACGGCGATGGGAGTGATGTCGAAGGTAGTCAGGAGGATGACTCGGAAGAGGATGAAGGGAGTGAAGATGAGGGTCAATCCAGAAATCCGTTCTTTGCTGACATGGCCGAGGACGAGGACGAGGATGAGGATGAGGATGAGGACGATGAGGAAGACAACAACGAGGACAACTTCTATCAATTAGATGATTAAAAGGCGTGTTTCCCTGGGTCACAAGGGATTACTATCCGCCAGAAGGCGGAGTGTATTATAATTTATATGACAGGATACACTACGGACCATTTGGTGGTAATTTAATACAACGGGGCCACAGTCCAGCTATGGGCTCTACAGATACTTTTCATCCGCAAGGAGCTTAACGAATTGCTCAATCCGGCGCAACCGCGTATCCGGCCTCTTCGCCGTCTCCAGCCGAAAGAGGAACGCATATCGCTGCGTCCTGGAGATGGATTCAAAGAAGTCGCGCGCCGCTTTGTTCTTGTCCAGCGCGTCTTGGAAATCAGGCGGCACCTGCGCGTTGCTCGATCCTGAATACGCCCTCTCCCATCTCCCATCGGCCTGTGCGGCGTCGACTTCGGCTTGGCCGGGGGGTCGCATGCGGCCGGACTCGAGGAGAGCTGCGACTTTGTTCACGTTGCGTTTCGACCATATGCTGGTCTTGCGGCGCGGCGTGAAGCGCTGGATGAAGCACTTGTCGTCATATGATTTCCGCTGGCCGTCGATCCATCCAAAGCAAAGCGCGACGTCGAGAGCCTCGTCGTACGTGACAGTCGTCAGGCCGGAATTCTTTTTGCCGACTTGGAGCCAGATGCCTCCTGTGTGTGAATGGTGGTTGACTTCCAATGTCACATTTAGGGGCATTTCCTAGACAACGCGACTTTCCCTTCTTCCTCAGACCACATCGCCGGCCCTATAACCACGATCCCGGTCCCCGGGACCCACAGGGCCCCGGCCCCTGTGCGACGGCGACGGACTGCCGCCTCCGGCAGCAGCCGTCTTCGTCATGTATAAGAGACGGGCTCTAGACCCGTCCCTTAGCTAGAAATCAAGAGCTTTCATCATCATCAGTGTGATCCTATCCATTCAGTGTCACAGTTATGCGCCCGGTTTGCCCTTGCTATTGAATTAGCCCTCTTATGAGCCCTCCTTTTAGCTCGAACTTTTGAGCCCTCTTTTTCCTACCTTCTGAGACCGATCTGTTATCTCTCTTTAAGTCAGATCACAGCTTCCACTGCCGCCCTCTCCCACCTGTTGGACCCAATGGATCCACAAAGCTCTTCCCGGGTCACCTTGCAAGGCCTCGGTGATTGGAATAGATGGATTTCCGTTATTTGAAAGCAGGCCAAAGCTGCTAATGTCTGGGATATTATTAATCCTTCCAAGGAGGATAAGGACCCCTTGCGACCCCCTCCCAAGCCTACAGCATAAGATGCCGACCCCAGCGTGACCCTAGTTAAGGACTTAGGCCCGGAAAAGATCAAGATTCTAGATGCCCTCTTGTAATAATACTTAATGGAATTCAAGCTTTATTGGGATAAGGTTAAGGCTCTAGAAGCTATTCAGCAGCTAATCTCAAAGACTGTTGGTAACTATGAGTCTACGATCGAGGGCGAGGATGAGGACGATATTGCTAAGCAGCTATTGCTTCTTAAAAATAAGACTTATTCTATGGACTGGAATAAGGAAGATACGATCCTGACTCAATTTCAGGGCATCCTCAAGAGCCCGGAAAGGACTAACCTATCCCAATGGGTTATCAGATGGCAGAAGATCCTTACGGAAGCCCGGAAAATCAACCTTCCAGACGTTCAAGGTATCAGACCAACCCGACTTTTCCTTAAAGCCGTCTCTGACATCAACCCTGACTTTACGGGCTACTGGTTTGCAAAAATAGAGGATCTTGCCTCTAATGACGGACTGGAATGGAAGAAGGAAATTCCTGACGGCATCAAGATCAGCAATATGTTCGAAAGGCATACCTCACAGCTAGCTGCTAGTAAGGCTGCCTTTTCCAGCTTTTAAGGGATATAGCCTCCAGCCACAGCTGCAGCCCCGACTCCAGCTTTAAAGCCAGCAAAATTAGGATCTTTAAATAAGCCCGTCTATCTCTGCGGAAAATGGCATTTCTATTGGGAATGTTTTTACTTGATTACATGGATCAGACCGGTCGGATAGACTCCAAAAGAAGACATCAAGGCTAAGATTAACAAGCGGCTCGAGGAGCCCAAAATAAAGGAAAAAATTGACAGGGCTATCGAGAGAGCCCAGAGGAAGGAAGCTAGGCCCGAGGAACAGGCAGGGACCCCCGAAGACCGGCAGATCAAGGATCTGCCTTTGCCGGCATTTCCCTCGGCCTAGGACCACAGCAACAGCCCGTCCAGCAGCCCGGTCAACAGACGGCTCAGCAGACGGCTCCGCAGATGGCTCAGCAGCCCGGTCATCGGCCGGGACAGCAGCCCACACAGCAGCCCGTCCAGCAGCCCGGTCAACAAACGGCTCAGCAGACGGCCCCGCAGACGGCTCAGCAGCCCAGTCATCGGCCGGGACAGCAGCCCACACGACAGCCCGGTCAGCAGCCCGGGCAGTCATCCTTTTCAGCGATGAAGGTGTATCCATTGAAGGATTCCTTTATCCTAGATTCTGGGTCAGACACCCACATCTGCAACAACCTATCCCGTTTCCTAGAATATCAGCCCTCCAGGGAGCCCGAAGTCCTCTACGCAGGCGGCTTCCAGATGGAAATACTAGGCTACGGTAAGGTTAATCTTCAGGTTAAGACGGGCTATTCCAGCTGAATAAAGTGGCCTACATCCCAGCTTTCCACACGAATATCGCCTCCCTAGACCTTCTAGTTAGGAAGGGATATAATTGGAACCCGGCTACAGGGACTGTTTTAAAGGAACAGAGACGATCTTTTCAACTAGACGACTGTACTGTAATGGGTTATTAAATTCAACAAGGTCATACAGTCAGACCAGCCGGCATCATCATTTCAATCGTCTAAGGACCCAAAGCCGACTCAAACAGCCGAAGCTGCCCTTTGGCATCTTAGGCTAGGCCATTTAATGCCCCTGCCCTCGAACATCTAGTCTTTCAGACCACAGGGACCCGGATCAAGGGCCCTATTCAAATTGACTGCGAAAGCTGCTCCCTCGGCAAGGCAGAAAGGAAGGTCTCGAGACGGAGCCCTCAAGCTAGGGCCCCAAGCCATTTTGGCGCATCTATATGACATTTTCTCCCTAACTACGAGCTATAACGGGAAAACAGCCGCCCTTCTGATCAAGGACGAATACACAGGCATGATCTTCCTGTATCTGTTATCAGAGGCGACCCAAGAAGCAGCCCTAGCAGCCCTAAAATCCTTCGAAGCTTCCATCCAAAGGCAGTACGGCCTAGGGATCTGTAGGATCCACAGGGATAACGATAGGGCTCTGCGGTCTCAATACGACAGCTGGATAGCTCTCAAAGGCATGAGGAGAGCCCACTTCCATCCACACACCTGCTCAAAATGGCCCTGCCGAGCGATCTGGGGGGGTAATAGGGACCAAGGCTAGGACTATAGGTCTTGGAGCCCACCTTCCAGACGACCTCTGGCCCGAGACTTGGAATACAGCTATCTATTTGCATAACAGATCGCCCCAGCAGTCCAGCAACTGGAAGACTCCCTTCGAATAGCTTTACAACTGGCTGGAAACCCACGGAAGGGATACCGGCTACGCAGGCAAAACGCAGCCTGATCTTGCCCATCTCAAGGCATATGGATGCAGAGCTTATCCCTTGACTAAGGAAGCTCTACAGGGCACCCAAAAACGGGCTCTCAAGACAGCAGCCCACGCAGAAATCGGCTACCTTGTTGGATACGATTCCAGCAACATCTACAGGATCTGGGTCCCTAGCAGACTAGAGGTCCGAAGGATCAGGGATGTACCTTCAATGACATATATTCTATAACCAAAGGACAATCCCGGCCCCATTCAACAGCAGCTACAGCAGCAGCTTCCTGACCACATTGAATCCGACTCAGAGGAAGAGACCGTCTTCCTAGCAGCCGGGACCGCGGCCCAAGACCTAGATGACGAAGAGGTCAGATCAACGATTGAGGTCTCACTTGAACACCAGAGCCCAGATGACTCTGACCTTGACGACCCTGACGATGACGAAGATCCTGACTTCGATGAAGACCGCGGCCTCGAGCCCACTCAATCCAAGGACCAAGAGACCTCTGACCTTGATGACTTCGATGACGAAGGCCCCTACCTGACCCCGAGGGCAACCAGCTCTCTAGCTAGCCCGGAAGCTAGTCCGGCAGCAAGCCCGGCAGTCAGTTTGACAGCTAGTCCGGCAGCTAGCCCAGCAGCCAGTAGGGAGCCTAGCCCACAGCCTCGGCAACGCCGTCGCCGCCGCAGACCCGATGAAATATACGGACCAGCTTCTCGAAGCTCCCAACGGCAACAGGGCCGGCAGCCGGCTAGCTTTTCCACTGCATTTTACACTGGAAGAGAGGAAAAGGTCCACAGACGGACACTTCCTCCGGAGCCTAGGACCTTCAAGGACCTGGAAAATCATCCCCTAGGGCCCCAATTTAAACAGGCTTGTCATCTAGAGATTAACAACCTTCAAGCCCAAGGGACCTTTCAGCCTGTTCCTAAGGAAGAAGCCGACGGAAAAGCCCTGCCCGTAGCCTGGATCTTCAAATATAAATTCAACAAGCACGGATTCCTCATCAAATGCAAGGCCCGGCTAGTTGTTAGAGGGAATCTTCAGCCGTATAACGATAAAGAGACCTATGCAGCAACCTTAGCAGGGAAGTCATTCAGGGTCCTAATGGCCATCGCCGCCAAATTCGACCTTGAGGCTCGGCAGCTAGATGCCATCAACGCCTTTACCAACAGCCGCCTTGACGAAATCGTCTATATCCGCTATCCTGATGGATTTCATCGTCCCGGTTGGCTGTTATTACTAAAGAAAGCCCTGTACGGGCTCCGCAGATCTCCCTTGCTTTAGCAACAAGACCTCTTGCAGACCTTCCAGCAGCTAGGTCTGACTCAAGTCAACGAAGACCCCTGTATCTGCAACAACAGCTGGATTACAGTCTTCTTCTTCGTGGATGACATCGTCTTGCTGTACCGAACTGCAGACCAGCTAGCCGCCGAGCAGCTGATCCAGCAGCTGAAAACGCGGTATCGAATGCAGGACCTAGGCAACCTAACCTGGTTCCTAGGGATCCGGATCCTAAGGGACAGACCGGCTAGAAAGCTGTGGCTCTGTCAGGACTCTTTTATCGAGAAAATAGCGGCCAAATTCAACATCATCCTCAAGGAAAGCTTCAAAGGAAATCCTCTGCCGACTAACAACCTGTCCGCAAGCCCGATTCAGGCTACGCTAGCCCAAATCCTCTTCTTCCAGCAAAAGGTCGGCTCTATCAACTATATCGCGGTTATTACTAGGCCCGACATAGCAAAGGCAGCCTCAAAGCTGGCCGAGTACCTCACCAACCCCTCAGAGCATCACCAACGGATCGCAGCCGGCGTCATCAGTTACCTCTACGCAACACGATATCTAGCGATTCAATTTGACGGCAGGGACCCTAGCCCTAGGGACCCGGACCTTCCTAGCAACCCTGACTTTCCTAGCTCTTCCAAGACAACGGTTACGGCCCAAATCAGCAGCGACCTTCAAATCGCATCAGACGCAAGCTTCGCGGATGATCGGATAAGCCGGAAATCGTCCCAGGGATCAATCTTATCCCTCTTTGGCGGACCTATCAGCTGGAAAGCCGGGAAACAGGATACAGTCACAACCTCATCAACAGAAGCCGAGCTCCTTGCCTTCACACACACAGCTAAGGAAGCCCTAGCTACACAACGGCTGTTCCAACAGCTAGGACTTCAGCTAGACCAGCAGCTGGAAATTAAGTGTGATAACCAACAGACTATCCGGCTCGTGACCCTCGAGACCCCTAGGATCAAGACCGCCCTCAGGCATGTTGACATCCACAGCTGCTGGGCTAGACAGGGATATCTAAAGCGGCTCTTCAAGATCAAATACACACCAACAGCTCAAATGCTAGCTAACAGGCTAACCAAAGCCTTACCGGGCCAGAAATTCAAAGACTTCGTCCGGCAGCTAGGTCTTGTTGACATCAGAGCTATAATCGACTCACAGATTAATTCAGATACCGAAGACTAGCTATTCTTCTATTTTCTTCTATTTTCTATTGTAGTTTCCTACTATCTAAAGCTATCTAACAGTCCCTCTCAACAGGGCAAAATTTAGCTATCTCAGCTATCCCTCCAACAGGGATTCCTTTCAGGATAACAGCTTGAATACCTTCAAGCTGGGGGGGTATGTCACATTTTGGGGTTATTTCCTAGACAACGCGACTTTCCCTTCTTCCTCAGACCACATCGCCGGCCCTGTAACCACAATCCCGGGCCCCGGGACCCACAGGGCCCCGGCCCCTGTGCGGCGGCGACGGACTGCCGCCTCCGGCAGCAGCCGTCTTCATCATGTATAAAAGACGGGCTCTAGGCCCGTCCCTTAGCTAGAAATCAAGAGCTTTCATTATCATCAATATGATCCTATCCATTCAGTGTGACAGTTAATACTGATAGTTACATTAGTAGCAAGCACGATAGTGAAACTCGTGCTAAGGGGAAATAATAAGTCTGCTTATGCTTGGTATCCAAAATCGCGTATGAGAATAACTGGAACCTTATATACTTCGCCGTCACTATCTTCATCGGTGAAAACATCAGGCTCCCGCAGCACCCACTCCAGTGCGTAGGGGTGTACTTTGCCAGTGAAATGGAACCACTGATTCTCCCACTCCGATTCAACAATCTGCTGGTTATAGACAGAGAGGTTAAGACTAAAGTAAATTGGTAGTGGATCAGGGGATCGATACCCTTCAGAATGCAGCGCAGAATATTCAGGCAGTATTATATAGGGAGGGGGTAGAAGAAAAACCCTGCTAAGAGCTTCAATATTAAGGCTCTTTATAAGTTATTCATCTGATATAGGAAACTGCATTAGGGTATCCGGCTGACTAAAAAGAACATAGTTATATTACTACTAAGGTTTTTCTGAGAGTTATAAGGT